CCAGCCAAGATTCAGGCCGTGGCTGATTGGCCGAGACCCACCACTCGCAAACAGTTGCAGCGCTTCTTGGGGTTTGCTAACTTTTACCACCGCTTTATTAGAAATTATAGTAAGGTAGTAGCCCCCCTGACTAAGCTCACCTCGGTGAAAGCACCGTTCGCTTGGTCCCCTGAAGCAGAAACAGCCTTTCTAGCCCTGAAAGAGCTATTTATTTCTGCCCCGGTGCTGCGGCATCCTGACCCCTCCCTCCAGTTCGTGGTGGAGGTGGATGCCTCTGACACTGGCATTGGGGCAGTACTCTCCCAGCGATCCCCCAAGGACCAGAAGTTGCACCCCTGTGCCTTCCTCTCCAGACGCCTGTCCCCAGCGGAGAGGAACTATGACGTTGGGAACCGAGAGCTGCTGGCGGTGGTGGTAGCCCTTCAGGAGTGGAGGCATTGGTTGGAGGGCGCTGCTCTCCCATTCATCGCGTGGACGGATCACAAGAACCTGGCGTACCTCCGCTCGGCCAAAAGGCTCAACTCCCGTCAGGCCCGGTGGGCTTTGTTCCTTGATCGTTTTGTTTTCACCCTCACCTACCGACCTGGGTCCCGCAATGCCAAGCCAGATGCCCTATCATGCCAAGCCGACCCCGAGACGCCGGGGACTGAACCAGAGACCATCCTCCCGACTTCTTGTGTGGTGGCTGCAGTGAACTGGCGGATAGAGGCTCTGGTGAAGCAAGCACAACGCTCACAACCTGACCCAGGTAATGGCCCCCCTAACCGACTTTTTGTTCCAGACTCAACCAGGTCCCAGGTCCTCCAGTGGGCCCCCTCTTCTAAGATCTCTTGCCATCCTGGTTACCAGCGAACACTGGATTTCCTACGGCGGAAGTTTTGGTGGCCATCCATGGTGAGAGACACGAGAGCCTTTGTAGCCGCCTGTTCTGTCTGTGCCCGTGGGAAATCCTCCCACCAGCTGCCAGCTGGACAATAACACCCCTTGCCTGTTCCAAGTCACCCCTGGTCCCACATCGCCCTGGACTTTGTTACTGGACTGCCTACCTCTGAAGGTAATGACACCATTCTCACTATTGACTGTTTTTCTAAGTCTGTCCATTTCGTGCCTCTGCCCAAGCTCCCCTCGTCCCTAGAGACTGCCAAACTCCTGGTCACCCATGTGTTCCACCTACATGGAATCCCTCAAGACCTAGTTTCAGACCGTGGTCCACAATTCGCCTCCCCGGTTTGGTGAGCCTTCTGCCAGGCCTTGGGCGCTTCTGTCAGTCTATCCTCAGGTTACCACCCACAATCCAACGGCCAGACAGAACGGGCTAACCAGCAATTGGAGGCTGCCTTGCGCTGCGTCGCCGCCCGACATCCGGTCTCCTGGTGCACATTTCTTCCGTGGATCGAATATGCTCATAACTCCCTCACCTGCGCTGCCACAGGTATGTCCCCATTCATGGCAGCTTATGGTTTTCAACCTCCATTGTTCCCATCTCAGGAAGGGGAGGTGGCGGTCCCGTCAGTACAGGACCACCTGCGCCGCTGTCGCCGGATTTGGACTGAGGCTCGTGCAGCCCTGATACGGACAGCGGCTAGAAACCAACGCCTGGCGGACCGCCACCGACTCCCTGCCCCCGATTACACTCCTGGTCAGAAGGTATGGCTGTCTTATCGAGACCTGCCATTGCAGGTAGAGTCTCGAAAGCTGGCTCCACGATTTATTGGACATTTTGAAGTGGACAAAATCATCAATCCTGTGGCGGTGAGGTTAAAACTCCCTCCGTCATTACATGTGCATCCTGTGTTTCACGTATCTCTCCTGAAGCCTGTCTCCTCCAGCCCTCTGTGCCCTCCGGCCGACCCCCCTCCGCCCCCCCCGGCTCATTGACGACCACCCAGCCTACACAGTTCGCCAGATCCTGGACGTCCAACGGCGGGGCCGGGGTTTCCAGTACCTGGTGGACTGGGAAGGGTACGGGCCGGAGGAGCGTTCTTGGGTTCCCCGGCACTTCATCCTGGATTCCTCCCTTCTTTCGGACTTCTACCGATCCCATCCTGACAAGCCCGGTAGGCCGCCAGGAGGCGTCCGTTGAGGGGGGGGTACTGTCATGGCTCTGCTCCCCTCCTGCTCCCTTTGCTCCTCCCCCTTCCCTGTGTGTCTGAGGGTGCGGCCTCCATTCTCCTCACCTGCTGCCTGCTGTCTCACCTGCTCTCAATCATTCATCATGCCTCAGTCTTCAAGAACCCCGGTTTTCCTCCCATTCATCGCCAGATTGTTTCAGCCTATGTGGTGGTAACTCTCGTGGCTCTTTTCAGTGTTAAGTTAGGCAACATCAAGCCCTCTTGTGTTTTCCCTGTGCCTGTCCCCCGGTTAACCATTTCTCTCCTGTGCCCCAGGGTCCCTTTGTGCAGTTTGGCTTCCTGTGTCTGCTCACCTGTGCCTCTGTGTCTCCGGTCTCTTCCGCCATCTCACCCACCCGTTCCTGCTGTGGCCGCCCCTCATCCCCCCTGTGTGTGTGTGTGTGTGTGTGTGTGTGTGTGCGTGGAATAAAACCCCCTTTAAACCTTCCATACTGTCTGGGTATGTGCTCCTGGGTCCGGTCCTAACACCAGCCCTGACACCCTTTAGGCAACATTATTAGGAATCACTCCATTAACTTTCACTGTTATGCAGATGATACGCAGTTATATCTATCAATCAAGCCCAATGAAATTAATCATCTAAATTACAAACATGTCTTAAGGACATAAAATCCTGGATGACCTGCAATTTTCTGATGTTAAAAAAAACGAAATTCTTGTTCTTGGGGCCCCAAAAACCTTAGAGACTCACTGTCTAAAGATATAGTTACTCTAGATGGCATTAACTTGGCCTCAAGCACCACTGTCAGGAATCTTGGAGTTATCTTTGATCAGGATTTGTCATTTAACTCCCACATAAAGCAGACCTCTAGGACTGCCTTCTTTCATTTACGTAATATTAGAAAAATTAGACACATACTCTCCTGTACTAGCTTCTCTGCATTGGCTCCCTGTAAATTGTAGAATAGAATTTAAAATCCTCCTCCTCACCTATAAAGCTCTTCATGGTCAGGCCCCTTCATATCTTAAAGAGCTCATAGTACCCTATTACCCTTCTAGAACACTACGTTCTCTGAATGCTGGGCTACTTGTGGTTCCTATAGTCTCTAAAAGTAGAACAGGAGCCAGAGCCTTCAGTTACCAAGCTCCTCTCCTGTGGAACCAGCTTCCATTTGTGGTTCGGGAGGCAGACACCCTCACCACATTCAAGAGTAGCCTTAAGACATTCCTCTTTGATAAAGCTTATAGTTAGGGCTGGATCAGGTGAGTCCTGAACCATCCCTTAGTTATGCTGCTATAGGCCTAGACTATCGGGGGATTTCCCATGGTGCACTGAGCTCCTCCCTTCCTCTCTCTTTCTGCACTCATTCATGTCCCATTAATGCATGTTACTAACTTCACTTCTTCCCCGAAGTTCTTGTGCTTTCTCGTCTCGCAGGTTCTTGTCGATCCTGGTGGAGCCTCCCGCCATGGTCCTGCTAGATTGCCATTGCCAATACTGTTGTTGCTGTGCACCTGTCTGTCTCTTGCGCTCTCTCTCTCTCTCTCTCACCCCAACTGGTCGAGACAGACGACCACCCACCTAGAGCCGGAGGATCTGTCCTAGGTTTCTGCCTTTTAACAGGCAGTTTTTCCTTGCCCTTGTCGCCAAGTGCTTGCTCATGGTGGTACTGTTGGGTCTCTGTAATTAATGGGAAAGAGTTCGGTCTAGACCTGCTCTATTTGAAAAGTGTCCTGAGATAACTTCTGTTATGAATTGGCGCTATACAAATAAAATTGAATTGAAATTGAATAATAGTGAAAGTTAATGGAGTGATTCCTCATAATGTTGCCTAAAGGAAGCATATATATAGTAAATAGTATTGGTCCAAGTACAGAACCTTGTGGAACTCCATGACTAACTGTACTATTTATGGAGGATTCATCGTTAACATGTACAAACTGAGAACGATCTGATAAGTATGACTTAAACCAGCTTAGTGTGGTTCCTTTAATGCCAATTTGATGCTCAAGTCTCTGTAAAAGAATATTATGGTCAATGGTGTCAAATGCAGCACTAAGATCTAATAATACAAGTACAGAGACAAGTCCATTGTCAGAAGCAGTCAGAAGGTCATTATTAACTTTAACCAGAGCTGTCTCTGTGCTGTGATGAACTCTAAATCCTGACTGAAAATCCTCAAATAAACTATTGTTATGTAGAAAGTCACACAACTCTTTGGCGACTACTTTCTCCAGAATCTTAGAGAGGAAGGGGAGGTTAGAAATCGGTCTTTAGTTGGCTAAAACCCCTGGGTCAAGAGTGGACTTTTTAAGAAGGGGTTTAATTACAGCTACTTTAAAGGACTGTGGAACATATCCTGATAATAAAGAAAGATTAATCATATCCAGTAAAGAAGTGCCAATTAAGGGAACAACTTCTTTAAGCAGCCTAGTTGGGATCGGGTCTAACAGACAGGTTGATGGCTTCGATGTAGAAATTATTGAAGTTAACTGATGAAGATCGATAGCAGAAAAACAGTTTAAATATATATCTAAGTTTACGTAAGTAAAAGTCCCTGAACTTGGAGAGCCACTGATAACTGTTGATGGCAGTTGGTGATTAATTTTCTCTCTAATAGTAATAATTTTATTATAGAAGAAGCTCATGAAGTCATTGCTACTTAAGTTTATGGGGATATGTGGCTCAATAGAGTTGTGACTCTCTGTCAGCCTGGCTACAGTGCTGAAGAGGAACCTAGGGTTATTCTTTTTTTCTTCCCTTAGTGCTGAATAATAGGCTCCTCTAGCATTACGGGGGGCCTTTCTATAGGTTTTAAGATTATCTTGCCAAATTGAGCGATATTCTTATAATTTGGAAGAGCGCCATTTCCTTTCAGATTTCCTAGCTTTTTGTTTTAACTGGCGGGTTTGGTGGTTGTACCAAGGTGCTAGTCTCCTATGTTTTAATAATTTCCTTTTTATAGGAGCGATAGAATCTAATGTTCTTCGTAGTGAGCCTGTAGCACTATCGACAAGATTATCAATTTCGGAGGGACTAAAGTTGTTATATGACTCTGTTATATTCAGACATGGCATTGAATTAAACACTGATGCAATCTTCTCCTTAAATTTAGCTACAGCACTGTCAGATAGACATTTGCTGGAACCCAATTTCAGGCAACATATTTCCACATCACTCAGTGACAGTAAACAGAACTTTTCTGTACTGTACTTTTTTAAAATAACCTTTTTAATTGAGGGCGAGATCTTACAAATAAACAAGTGACTGACCCTTTACATTGAATCTCTGTGACCAGTAAACATTTTAAAACAGCAGAGATTTTTACATGTATTTCGTATTTTGGACATTTGCATTCCATACATGATAGGATTCAGAAGTGGTTGCAGTACTGAAAAATATAACGACAAAATTATTCGTACAATCTTGGGAATACTGTCCTTATTAAATCTAGTCTGAACTATTTCAAAAAAACACCCAAAAGAAAAGTTTATGAGAGACACAAGGTGAGGTGTGCAGGTACTGACAGCTTTCTGTCTGGTCTGTCTGGAACCAGAAAAACAGATTTTGAGAATTTTCATGTAAGAGAAAAGGATTGGGAGCAGAGGGACTAAAATGGAGACAACAGTGGCAAAAAGTCCATAAATGTTGTTCACTTTGGTGTCAGAACATGCTAACTTAACAATGAGGTAGTTATGACAATACAAACTGTTTATGATGTTTCCACAAAGTGGCAAACGGATGTTTAGAGATAAAGTAATCAGAAATTTTATAAAAGAGTACAACCATACCAAAATAATTAAGATAAACACCTTGTTAAATGTCATACGTGTGTTATATTGTAGAGGATAACAGATAGCGAGATATCTGTCATAAGACATTACAGCTAAATTACAAAACTCTACATTAGCATATGTATAAAAACAGAAAATCTGAAGGTAACAAAATGAAGCAGGAACAGTGTGAATGTCAGAGAGAATCTGAATCAGAAGGAATGGAAACAACCCTGTACTACCATACAGTTCATTTACAAACAGGCTGCACAGAAATATGTACATAGGTTCATGTAAGCTTCTGTTCATACAGATAATCACAATGAGAGATGTATTAGCAAACATTATTACAAAGAACAACATTGCAGTTATCATAAAATATAAGTATTTCAAACTTCCAACAATCATATAAGCTTCAAGAATGAAATAAGACAACGTTGATAGAGTTGAATTTACCATAACTTTAACCAGAACTCTAACTTTAAATGACAAAACAACTACAGTATGCAAATGATGACAGAGTTTTCTTCTGATGATTCACTGCAAAATCCATTATTAAAATTATCAACAGGAATATTTAAAAAAGTATTCAAAACTCACCATCTCACTGAACATTTAAGTTAAATATGAAAATGACATGTTGATGTTATACAGCTCAACATTAGTTTACTGCTAAACTGCAGACTGCTGCAGTCACTTCTGACTGTGGGCTGCAACATCTGCAGCTTTTATACCTTTTCAGAACAGATGAATCCAACAGTCTCAGCTTATTATCATGGCCTTGTATCAGTTTGTTGTATCAAGAGTGTTTCCATTCTCAAGTAAGTTAAGCCACTGATGGCTGTAATGAATGCCCCTCATGCTTCTGTGTTATCCACCTAAGGTACCCCAACTAGCTGGGGTGGAAGGACTTGTTCTAGAGTTTACTGAAATTAAGGATTTGATCCTTAACCTTCAATCAGGCAGGAAGGCTGCAACCAGGATGGATAGTCCACAGGCTAGGCCTCCTACCCACCAGAATGGGACAAGGATTTCCTGTCTATGAGGGATTCCTGTAGTAAAGTTCCACCCTTACTTCCAGAGAGGGTTTTTCTGCACTCCCCTTCCAATTACAAACTGAGGAGCTGGGGGCCTTATTGTCTGTTATTCCAAAAGTTGTCTCATACCCAAAAAAGGCATTGAGTTTATTGGATTAACCCTGGACTCCCTTCAGATGCTGACCTCCCCAATGCTGCAGGGAGTAGATGCCATACTCCAGCTTCTCTCTTTCGAGAAGAACAAGTACAGCATTTCTCTCAGGCTGTTGGGTATGTTGACATCATTGATCTCAGTTATGCTGCTGGGCCTTTGCAGGTTTGGACCAATGGCCTCCACCTATGTGCAATGTTGCACAGAGCCAAGAGAGTCAGGCTATCCAACCAATTCCTCCTCGCATTGCGGTCATGGACGAACAGATATCCCCTCATACAGATACGGCACTGCAGAAGTGGATCTGTTTGCGTCAGAGTCCTCAACCCACTGCCCCCTTTTGTTTCTCACTGATGGAAACAACAGTTGTGTTGGGACAAGACTTTTAACAGGTCAGCTTATGACCCTCTATGCCTACAAGATGAGGAAAATAAGTTAGGGCCTTGGAGCATTATCTACAGGCAACTGATGGATTTCACAACTCTGATAGCCTGTTTATCTGCTATGGAGGCCCTAGCAAAGGGCAGGCCCTGTCTAAGCAGAAGCTTTGCAGGTGGGTTGTTGAGGTTTTATGAACTCTAGATGCAAATAATTCTGTTACAGTTTTTCTCAATTGTTAACACACAATTACTTGTATAGTACTTGAGACACAATGACCACATACTCAAAACACATTTTTTTCAAAACACTACACACAATTCTCTGCATTTGGCACAATTTTCATGAAGAAAATATCTTGTTTTCACAAGGTACACTGTCATTCAAAATTCTAAAGTTAATTGCCCTACTATGCACACTGACTCATCACATGGGCAAACACCTGTCACACAGTTTTACAATTAGCAATCGGAGCTTTACAGTTTTTTACAATTACTAAAATAAAAATGTCCACATAATTTGCGAAATTCTACTCCAAGTAGCAAAACACCTCCACAGATTTGCACAACATTACACACAATGTCTGCTTCACCCTTTTTGCAAAACATTACACACAGTGATTTGTGAAACTCTACACACATTTTCACACCTTAGACACAGATAAGGATTGTGAGGTTACTTCCTTGTCATTACAAAGCCCCAGATTGCCAATGACCACACTAATGAACAAATTGGATAATCACATCCACCAGGTGTGGAAGCACACATGTGCTAATTTGAAAACGCAGCACTCAGGGGTGCTTTAAAAGGCAGCAGGTGAGTTCACCTGTCTTCAACAAAAATGGAAGGAGCTAGAAGAAGAAGAAGAGTGAGAATGAGAGGGGGAGCTCAAAGAGGAGATGAAGGAGGTAGAGGAAGAGGAGAAGGAGGTAGAGTAGGAGGCCCAGGTAGAGGAAGAGGAGAAGAAGGAGGTAGAGGAAGAGGCCTAGGTAGAGGAAGAGGAGAAGAAGGAGGTAGAGGAAGAGGCCTAGGTAGAGGAAGAGGAGAAGAAGGACTTGAAGAGTTGATAAAACCTGAACAAATAAGACGAGGACCAAATTTGACTCAAGAAATCTGTGCAACACTTATTGACCATGTTATCAACCATGGACTGACACTGATGGAAGCTGGACAGAGTTCAACCAAATCTCAGCAGAAATACTGTTGCGTCAGTAATTCGGACATTTCATTGAGAAAACAGGTAAGCTAACCACACAGTACATTGAAACTGAAGCTTGCTGTACTTATCATCAATAGTGTTTACTGTGACATTTGACAGTAGGCTGCATGTGTATTTTTTTATATATTTTTTTTACATAGGATTGAGGGTCGAGGACACCAAGGTGGAAGGGGCCCTATGTTCACTCGTGCGCAAGAGGCCGCCATTGTGAACATGGTTTTGACCAATAATTGTATCAGGCTGTGAGAAATCCAAGCCAATATCATCAATGATGACCATATTTTCAATAACATTCAACGAGTGTCTCTGTCAACATTAGGTCGAATCCTCAAGAAAAATCAAATATACATGGAGCAACTGTATCGGGTACCATTTGACAGAAATTCAGAGAGTGAAACATCTGCGCAATGAGTATGTGGAGGTATATATTCATCTTACTATGGTGTGGTATTGTGCACTGCTCATAATGTTCTGGCACAAAAGATACTGTGCAATAGATATTGAATAGCATCCTATTGTCTTTTACTGTGTTTGAGAGAGTCTTGCAAATGGATGCTGAAGAAATTCAACATGAATTTATATATGTGGATGAGGCTGGATTTAACCTTGCGAAAACAAGAAGAGGGAGAAATGTAATTGGACACAGGGCAATCACCAATGTGCCAGGGCAGCCGGAGGGTAACATCACCCTTTGCGCTGCTATTACACAAAATGGGGTCCTCCACCACCATGCAAATCTGGGACCCTATAATGCAAATCTAATACTTGATAGAATTGGTTCCATGAGCACCCTGAATTTGAAGTCTTATACCTTCCCCCATACTCCCCCTTCCTGAATCCAATTTTTCAGCATGGCGGTGGAAGGTATACGACCTGCGGCCCTATAACCGTTTGCCCCTCATTCAGGCCATGGAGCAGGCCTGTGATCATATCGAAGCAGCTTCTGTGCAGGGGTGGATTCGTCACACGAGGCGATTCTTCCAACGGTGCCTTGCCAATGAAGACATAGCCTGTGATGTGGAGGAAATCTTAAGGCCTGATCCAGCCAGACGGAGAGATGATGAATAGTTACAGTATTCATGTTGCTTTTACATTAGTTTCTTCAGAGTCAAAGTGTATGTACTTTATGCAGTAATTTTTATTTGTCTACAGATTTTATTTGGTAAATGGTAAATGGACCTGTACTTGTATAGCATCTTTCTAGTCTTCCGACCACTCAAAGTGCTTTTACACTACGTGCCACATTCACCCTTTCACACACATTCACTCAGTGATGGCAAAGTCCATCGAACAGAAACTAACATTCATACACACTCACACACCGATGCACGGCATCGGGAGCAATTCGGGGTTCAGTATCTTGCTCAAGGATACTTCGACATGTATATTTCTTTCATTGATTTCATTGTTGGTTGATTACTGTAACTGATTATGGTAAGAAATACTGTAAGTATTGAAATAAATACTTGAAATATTCAGTCTGCAGCATCAGTGTTGTGCAGTGCTTGGTAAGTTTATAGTAGGCCTATTTGTGTACATTCTCCCTATAGCTCAAACTAATCATGAAGAATGGTGTGGGTTTGTCACTATTTTTTTTTTTTTTACATCTAAATTATCCCTTACATAACAACATCTGGCCAAAAATCTAGCACATGCTATTTCCTAAAATTAGTTTTTTTACAAATGTGTTTTTTATTTATCACAGCAGTGTGAAACTGGCTGCAATAGTGTCTGATCATTGAGGACTGTGTTGGTTAAATGAAAACTAATAGCATTTTCACAAATATGTGTATGTTTTGACTGGTGTGTCATTTTGCAAACAATCTAGGAATTATGCAAATTGAGTGTGGTGTTTGGATAATTGTGATTAAAATTGCGTGTAAACAATTGAAAAAAACTGTAGCATAAAAGGGCAACAGGTTAGGGTTAGATATAGCAGTTGATGCTTTTCATGGCTGGATTCGTCATGCTAGGCCATATTTCCCCCGCTGCTTGGCCAGGGAAAACATTGCTTGTGATATGGATGAGGTGCTGTGGCCAGACCCAAACAGAAGAGAGGATGCAGCATAGTTTTTTGTTTTGTTTTTTTACTGTAAAAAATGTAAATGTTTCTGTTTTGTATGTAGACCACTGTATGTGCAACTTTGTGTTGGTTGGTCGTTTTTGTGGGAACAATAAAATATATTTATTACCGTGTATTTGTGGGTTCTGAGTATAAAAACAATATTGTCAAAAATGTTCCAACACACTTATGTATGTACTGTCTGTAGTTAGTGTAACACTGAACAAAAAAAAGGCCTAAGTCATTATGATGAATGGAGAAGAAGTGTTTTCCATTCATCATAGTGTTTTACATTGAGCACATCAGTGTTCAACTGGTTCTTATAAATGTCTATTCATATGATGGTTTGTGTGTCATTTGAAAACAAAACACCATTTTGAGAAGAAATAACATTGTTTGAATGTAAAGTATCATATTGCAGGAGAATTGAGGGGTTTTGCCCACTGTGTGTGTGTGTTTGTGTGTAGAGTACGAGGCATGCTTTCAGAAAATGTGTGTAAACAATCGAGAAAAACTGTAAATGAAAACCAGAAGATTTTCAGCTCATGCCTTTTCCTAAATATTTGTTTTATTCTAGTAACTTCTAAGCTTCAGAAAACAAAGAATCAATGAAGACGCCACAGTGACTCATGCACACAGCCTCTCACTCACACTTGAGACTCAGTTTTGTATATTGACAATTGTCTGGGAGTTATTGTGGACTGAGATAGTTACAATAATGGTCAAGAATCTGTTCTATTAGACAACTTAAAACTCCAGAAAGGCTTCACAAACAGAGTCTGGATTGACATGAGCTTAGTTTGATCTTTATGCCATCATTCTTTAAAAAGGAAACAGCTGGACATTGTAGAAGGACTATGAGCAAACACTAAACAAACTTCTGTATCTGTCCATGCTGAAGTGTTGTCACAAAGTGGGGAGGGGAGGTCATCCTCAGCCCTCAGTGGACCAGTGAAACCAGTGCTGAGGTCTGCTCGGGCTGATTGGTCTCACTGGTTAACAGCTCTGACTGTAATTAGAGGGAATTAGCAATGTGAAGATGCCTCAGGGACAAACATGTCAACAGGCTGAAATTACCTTTGACCTAAAACTTTGTAAAGTGATCTAACCTTACCAGCACCAGCAGCCTCTGTGGGGTTTACATTAAATGAGAATAAACAGTTTGTGGCAAAGTTTTAATTCTCCCGTATCACTGTAGATTGCTTTGGAGTTTGAGAAGTTAGTGTCTTCAGAAGGAATCAGAACCAGGCCTCATTACAATCCACAGATTTTAATATTTAATTTATTTACCTTTTCATACATAAAGTTAACAGCAGACATCATTCAGTTTCAACACTAGTGGAGTCACAGGCATCCATTGTTTTTCCTTTCAGTCAACATGATGATGATGATGATGATGATGAAATTAAAGCTTAAAATCTCTTCTATTACAGCAGCTCCATTTGCAACATCACATAAATTAGGACAAGGAAGAAAGATAACATATCTAACATAACACCACAAACACTGAAGACAATATTCAAGGCCTATAAATGTGCATTTGATCTGGGATTAGGCTCCATATTTTAGGATTGACTACCACACTTTATAACAAAATTTAACAACAAACGTTTACATATGATGCAGATTTTGGACATATTCAGTCCATACATCAGAGGGTTAAAGAGTGGCTGGCATGTCAGAAAGTATAAGGATAAAACAATTTGCAACATACTGTACACACTTTTCATATCAAATCTGCTCTGTAATATTTCAAAACAAACACCAAATGAGAAGTTGAGCAAAGAAGCAACATGAGGTGTGCAGGTACTGAAAGCTTTTTGTCTGGTCTGTTTGGAACCAGAAAAACAAACTTGAAGGATCTTCATGTACGTGTAAAGAATTAAAATTAGAGGACCAAACACCGTGAGAAAGGTTATAATAAGTCCATAAATGTTATTTACTCTGGTTTCAGAGCAGGCCAGTTTCACAATGGAGTAGTTTAAACAGTAAACTTTGTTAATGATGTTCCCACACAGCTGTAAAGGAGCAATCAATGATATCAAAATAAAAATGGTAAAAAAAGAGTATAACCATGATAGAGCAATGAGCAAGAGAACCTTGTTATATGTCATTTGTGTGTTATATTGTAGAGGATAACAGATAGCAAGATATCTGTCATAAGACATGACAGCCAAGTTGGAAAATTCTACACACACATAAGAGTACACACAGAAAATCTGCAGGAAACAAAAGGGAACAGAAACAGTGTGAATGTCAGAGAGAATCTGAACCAGAAGCATTGGAAACAACCCTGTACTACCATACAGTTCATTTACAAACAGGCTGCACAGAAATATGTACATAGGTTCATGTAAGCTTCTGTTCATACAGATAATCACAATGAGCAAAAGATTGGCACAAATTATTAAAATATATAAGGACAGAATAATCATAAAATACAAATATTTAAATCCCCCAGTATCAAAGTAGGCACTTAGTGTGAAATATGAAACCTGTGTAGAGTTTATCATGATCCTCGTTTTGGCTTGTAAAGTAAACATAGCGCTGTTCAGTGCACAAATTGATGAAAAGAAATTACATTGTGAAACAGTTTTAGATAAGTTAAACTTTGCTTTTTCAACCTGTGCAAACAAAAACATCAACTACAAAACAAGATTCTTATTCCATTCACACAATAAACTAACTTTGAGAATTGTTACATTTTATTATAGATTTTGAAGTTTAAAGTTTAATTAGCTTAAAATATAAGATCTACTTACTGTAAATATATATTGTATAGGAAAACAGTCACAGATTCTCTAAACTTACCATTCACTAAATACAGTCCACATAAAGGTTGGCTACGAAATGACAATTTCATGACACAATATTGGCCTGTTCTACTGCAGTCAAACTGCCAAGTCCTCTAACTGAGCTGAAACTCTGCTTCCACTTCTTTTAAACTTCTATAACAGGGGACGCCCACAGCAGCAGTGTGACCTCGTTACCCAAGGACCTGCTGGTTGTTACTGAGTGATGTCAAGAATGTCAAATACTTCAATTTAAATAGAAGATTGATATGAAAAAGAATGGCTACTCGTACTCTAACCCTTTGGATCTTTCTATTCTTATCTTTATTTATTTATATTTTAAAAAGTACTTTATTTTTGTGTGATTTTCATATTTTATGCACCAATGCACCAAGACAAATTCCTTGTACGTGTAAAAACTTACTTGGCAAAAAACCTAATTCTGATTCTGAAGAGAGACAATAAAGATGCTTCTGTTTTGGTCAGTTACCCTAGCTAGCTTAGCTTTGCACACATTGGGAATTTAGGATAAAGCTTTGTATGAATTAATATGTATGTGGAAGTTAGACTTTACTCTGCTGGAGCCCACTAAGGCAACTTAAGGCAACAACCCCAGTTCCCCTAAGCAAGAGGGTGGACTAAGACAGAGAGTCAAAGACAGTTTGTGCTCTGTTAACCCATGTCAAACATTCTTTTTCTGCCAAAATGAAATTTCTCTCCTCTTTCTACAGTTACTATTATTACTATTGTCACTGCTCATTGTCCCCCATCGTTGTTGTCGTCGTCATCATCTTCTTCATGTTCATCATCATCAGTCACTACTATTAGTGTAGTTGTTGCTACTGTTGTTGCTGTGCACCTGTCTGTCTGTCTGTCTGTCTGTCTCTCTCTCTCTCTCTCTCTCTCTCTCTCTCACCCCAGCTGGTCGAGACAGACGACCACCCACCTAGAGCCGGAGGATCTGTCCTAGGTTTCTGCCTTTTAACAGGCAGTGTTTCCTTGCCCTTGTCTCCAAGGTCTTGCTCATGGTGGTACTGTTGGGTCTCTGTAAATAATGTTATAAAGAGTTCGGTCTAGACCTGCTCTATTTGAAAAGTGTCCTGAGATAACTTCTGTTATGAATTGGTGCTATACAAATAAAATTGAATTGAATTGAATTGAACATTGTCATAGTGAACATATTAACATTTAGCTGAATAAAGTGTGGACGGACTCACAGAACTGCTGTGGACTGTTAGGGTCAGATTTACTAAGAAAATTTTACTGTGCAAATGTGTGCTGCTGTTTTCATTGAGTCAGTGTTGAAAGTAGGCCGGTATGGTCTGGTACCTCATACCTCTAAAAGATTCAGTACTGGCAGTACCAGGAAGAGGGGACAGCAGCTGCCTGCTAAAACCCACATACGACCACCCGTCACAATCACTCTACTGGTCTACAGTCTACTTTGTAAACTAGCAAACTGCATTTTTGGAAGAAAACTTCCTATAAGCAATAAAATGTATCTCGATATGTGGTATAGTGTAGTTGATTATGATAATGAATGGTTTTAATTATAATGTAATAATCATACATGATGAAAATAGAATTTTGAATCATTTCAACTCTTTCAATTTAATTTTATAATCTGTTCTCACTTCCAACTCATTTACTCTAGCAGCAGGTCAGTGACTCTACAAACTATGATGCTGCACCTAGAGCGTCATTTCTGGATGTGTCTGTTTAATGCAATGTGTTGATGTGCTGTTGAAGTCAGGTGATGAAGAGCAGTAAAGTCTGCGTTTGGCAATTCAAAGTCTGCTCATATGCTCAGAGAGAGAACTGAAAAGCCACAAGCTAAATGCACTGCTGTACTGTGAGTTACATGATAGGTTTCTATCCAGCTTAAAGGGCCTGCAGCCTTCATATAACTGAACTGATGTGTAGGTTAACAGGCGAAGGAATGTCTCAGCTCATAAAGCAGCTTCAGGAATTTGGCACTGTAAGTGACGTACTGGGCCTTGATAATGAGCTGAGACTGTTGGATTCATCTGTTCTGAAAAGGTATAAAAGCTGCTGATGTCAGCAGTGACTGCAGCAGTCTGCAGTTAAGCAGTAAACTTATGCTGAGCTGTGTAACATCAACATGTCATTTACATATTTAGGGTCCTTAAATGTTCAGTGAAGGCTGTGAGATGGTGAGTTTAGAATATTTTTATATTGTTTTTTGACTGATTATTTCCACTGAAGCAGTGTTAGTAAGGTGTAAAATGATGTTTTTGCACAAAGCAGTTGATTTATTTTGGGGGTGAATAATCAGAAGAAAACTTTGTCATTGTTTGTAGTTGTTTTGTCATTTAAAGTTAGAGTTCTGGTTAAAGTTATGGTAAATTCAACTTTATCAACGTTGTCTTATTTCATTCTTGAAGCTTATATGATTGTTGGAAGTTTGAAATATTTATATTTTATGATAACAGCAATGTTGTTCTTTGTAATAATGTTTGCTAATACATCTCTCATTGTGATTATCTGTATGAACAGAAGCTTACATGAACCTATGTACATATTTCTGTGCAGCCTGTTTGTAAATGAACTGTATGGTAGTACAGGGTTGTTTCCATTCCTTCTGATTCAGATTCTCTCTGACATTCACACTGTTCCTGCTTCATTTTGTTTCCTGCAGATTTTCTGTTTGTATACTTATGTAAATGTAGAGTTTTGTAATTTAGCCGTCATGTCTTATGACAGATATCTCGCTATCTGTTATCCTCTACAATATAACACACGTATGACATTTAACAAGGTGTTTATCTTAATTATTTTGGTATGGTTGTACTCTTTTATAAAATTTCTGATTACTTTATCTTTAAACATCCGTTTGACACTTTGTGGAAACGTCATAAACAGTTTGTACTGCCGTAACTACCTTGTTGTTAAGTTGGCATGTTCTGACACCAAAGTGAACAACATTTATGGACTTTTTGCCACTGTTGTCTCCATTTTTGTCCCTCTGCTCCCAATCCTTTTCTCTTACATGAAAATTCTCAAAATCTGTTTTTCTGGTTCCAGACAGACCAGACAGAAAGCTGTCAGTACCTGCACACCTCACCTTGTGTCTCTCATAAACTTTTCTTTTGGCTGTGTGTTTGAAATAGTTCAGAGTAGATTTGATATGAGCAGTGTACCCAGTGTGCTACGAATCATTCTCTCACTGTACTTTGTGATACTTCAACCACTTCTGAATCCTATCATGTATGGAATGCAAATGTCCAAAATACGAAATACATGTAAAAATCTCTGCTTTTATAAAATGTCGACTGGTCACAGGGACACGGTATAAATAAAAGATTAGTAAATCCTTTATCTGTGTTTTACTTTCATTGAATGATGTGGAAATATGTGTATTGAAATAAAGTTCCATAAAAATTAGGAACAACAACAGTACGGCAATAGATCATTTGAGACAATCCAGGATTTTGTGGAATATTATCCATTAATGGCTCTTAACAATATAACTAAAAATATTAACTACAGGTTCAACTCATCTGCATACCATGTAAAGGCCAAAGCTCCACTAGCTGCAATAACACAGCAATCCCATTCACTGTAATGGAGAATGAGCTCAGTAAACAGTTTCCTGATGAGTTTCTGGTCTCAGTCTCTAGTTTCAGTCTTCTTCCATACAGCATGATGTTCATTTAGTAACTGATGGTCCCATTTAGAGTAAAACAGACCATAAAGCAGGGTATGCTTTAGGGCAGGGCTATCTTGTGATTGACAGCTCATTCTCAGTTAGTCCGTCCAGCTCAACCAAACTCAGATCAAACTGTCAAACAGTGCTGATCAGATATGGATCCAGATTCTGTTGTTGACTATTTCTCTCCTCAAATCTGTTCACAAACTAATTTTACTGTTTATCTGGAATACCAGATCCTGTGTGAGCAGGAGATACGCCATTGTTTCCAAACCAAGAGCAGCTAATGAGCATAGCACGGCTTCAGAACGGTTCTCCACAAACCAATGGGTGACGTCATGATAGGTTCACACTTGTTCTGACCTGCATCTACCACACTAACTTCTTCCCCGTATCTACAGGATTTGCCTTTGCCCTGTATCTATTGCACTGATCTCTGCCCTGTATCTGTCCTCTCCTCTGTAACTTGGACTCAAATGGACTCAATCAAATTTTTATTTTCTTTGAAAGACAGGGTGAGATTATCTGTGCAGGGTGCGTGGCCCTTTAACACAGAAATGGGTCATGAAGTGTCTATACAATGATCAGCCATAACGTTATGACCACCTGGGCACCCTACAGAGAGTCAGAGGTAATAGGTACCTGACTTCCCATGTCCCTGAATTAGACATTGAAGAGTTATACAGCTTATCCTCCAGCAGATATTTGGCCACATAGTCATAACAACTTTAGACAGGAAACACTTTTTTGTGATATTCTGATGTTTTTTACAAAGTGACTGAAAGAATATATAAATATATTTTTTTATATATAAAAAAAAGAAATCCTCCTCAGAAATGCTTCATCAAACTTTTGTGTAGACTTTCTTTAGGTGTTTATATCATTCAGTATCTGACCATCCTAAGGTGTGTTGTCACAGAGCGGTCTGAGGGGAGGTCATTATCGTCCTCAGGCCTCAGTGGACCAGTGAAACCAGTGCTGAGGTCTACTCCGGCTGATTGGTCTCACTGGTTAACAGCTCTGACTCTAATTTGCTTCAGAGGGAATTAGTGGAAACTGTGGCTAATGTGAAGATTCCTCAGGGACAAACATGTTGACAGGCTGAAATGACCTTTGACCTGAGGGACTTGTTACAGTGATGTAACTTTCCACAACACCAGCAGCCTCTGTGGGGTTACATTAACCGAGAATAAACAGTTTGTGGAAAAGTTTTCATTCTTCTAATCAAACTTTTGATGTTTTATTAGTTTGAGAACTTGACTGTAATGAAAGAGTTTTTCTTTAACAGGAACAGTAGGAAGTAGGTTCACTGTTCAAAGATATTTTTATCATGAAAACATTTAAACAAGTTCCTTATTAAACGCTCCCTCTGTAAACTTTACACTATATAATAATGTGCATTATTTTGGTAGTTTTCCTGCTATAGGAGATAATCAACCAGATTTCAGACTGAAATGTGTAATATACACACTGGTCCACGGTGTCAGAGTGTATATTTTGCCTCATTTGGCCGTGGAAGTGTCATGTTTTCATGAAGACACAGTTAAGTTAGATTTAGGAAAAGACTGTAAGTTATGTACCTGACAAGTTGATACAGACTTTTGGTTTCACTCAGGACTCAAACAGAGATCTCGTAGGTTCCTGTGTTTGTTTGACCCATCCATCCACCCTGACCTCCTCCCTATGTGGACTTTAGGCAACACGGTATCTTTTAGAGGATCGGCAGGTCTATTAGATGCTTCCTCAATCCAACAGTCGGCTTTGTAACACTTACTTTAAAGTCAAATTTAAACCTTCACAAATGGCCAGTAAAATGTTTTCTAGGATTTATTGAGTTGAGATAAGATTTATGTCTCAAATCCATCAAGCATGTTTTGATTTCACTGCACGAACGAAACCCCAGCCCTTAATGGACCACTGGGCTCTCCACAAGGACTCCATTATAAACTTCTCAGGAATCTGAACATCCATACTATATAATTATTACATGATGAAATCTAAAAATAGCTAGGAAATCTGAAAGGAAATGGCGCTCTTCCAAATTATCAGAATATCGCTCAATTTGGCAAGATAATCTTAAAACTTATAGAAAGGCCCTCCGTAATGCCAGAGGAGCCTATTACTCAGCACTAATAGAAGAAAATAAGAATAACCCTAGGTTCCTCTTCAGCACTGTAGCCAGGCTGACAGAGAGTCACAGCTCTATCGAGCCACATATCCCCATAAACTTAAGTAGCAATGACTTCATGAGCTTCTTCTATAATAGAATTATTACTATTAGAGAAAAAATTAATCACCAACTGCCATCAACAGTTATCAGTGGCTCTCCAAGTTCAGGGACTTCTGCCAATGTAAACTTAGATATATATTTAGACTGTTTTTCTGCTATCGATCTTCATCAGTTAACTTCAATCATTTCTTCATCGAAGCCATCAACCTGTCTATTAGACCCGATCCCAACTAGGCTGCTTAAAGAAGTTGTTCCCTTAATTGGCACTTCTTTACTGGATATGATTAATCTTTCTTTATTATCAGGATATGTACCACAGTCCTTTAAAGTAGCTGTAATTAAACCCCTTCTTAAAAAGTCCACTCTTGACCCAGGGGTTTTAGCCAACTATAGACCGATTTCTAACCTCCCCTTCCTCTCTAAGATTCTGGAGAAAGTAGTCGCCAAAGAGTTGTGTGACTTTCTACATAACAATAGTTTATTTGAGGATTTTCAGTCAGGATTTAGAGTTCATCATAGCACAGAGACAGCTCTGGTTAAAGTTAATAATGACCTTCTGACTGCTTCTGACAATGGACTTGTCTCTGTACTTGTATTATTAGATCTTAGTGCTGCATTTGACACCATTGACCATGATATTCTTTTACAGAGACTTGAGCATCAAATTGGCATTAAAGGAACTGCCCTAAGCTGGTTTAAGTCATACTTATCAGATCGTTCTCAGTTTGTACATGTTAACGATGAATCCTCCATAAATACTAAAGTTAGTCATGGACTTCCACAAGGTTCTGTACTTGGACCAATACTATTTACTTTATATATGCTCCCTTTAGGCAACATTATTAGGAATCACTCCATTAACTTTCACTGTTATGCAGATGATACGCAGTTATATCTATCAATCAAACCCAATGAAATTAATCAATTATCTAAATTACAAACATGTCTTAAGGACATAAAGTCCTGGATGACCTGCAATTTTCTGATGTTAAACTCAGAAAAAAACGAAATTCTTGTTCTTGGCCCCAAAAACCTTAGAGACTCATTGTCTAAAGATATAGTCACTCTAGATGGCATTAACTTGGCCTCTAGCACCACTGTCAGGAATCTTGGAGTTATCTTTGATCAGGATTTGTCATTTAACTCCCACATAAAGCAGACCTCTAGGACTGCCTTCTTTCATTTACGTAATATTAGAAAAATTACACACATACTATCACAGACAGATGCAGAAAAACTAATCCATGCATTTGTTACTTCAAGGCTGGATTACTGCAACTCTTTATTATCAGGTTGCCCCAATAAGTCCATTAAAACGCTCCAATTAATTCAGAACGCTGCAGCACGAGTACTGACAGGAACTAGAACAAGAGATCACATCTCTCCTGTACTAGCTTCTCTGCACTGGCTCCCTGTAAAATGTAGAATTGAATTTAAAACCCTCCTCCTCACCTATAAAGCTCTTCATGGTCAGGCCCCTTCATATCTTAAAGAGCTCATAGTACCCTATTACCCCACTAGAACATTACGTTCTCTGAATGAAGGGCTACTTGTGGTTCCTATAGTCTCTAAAAGTAGAACAGGAGCCAGAGCCTTCAGTTACCAAGCTCCTCTCCTGTGGAACCAGCTTCCAGTTGTGGTTCGGGAGGCAGACACCCTCTCCACATTCAAGAGTAGGCTTAAGACATTCCTCTTTGATAAAGATTATAGTTAGGGCTGGATCAGGTGAGTCCTGAACCATCCCTTAGTTATGCTGCTATAGGCCTAGACTATCGGGGGATTTCCCATGGTGCACTGAGCTCCTCTCTTCCTCTCTCTTTCTGCACTCATTCATGTCCCATTAATGCATGTTACTAACTCCACTTCTTCCCCGGAGTTCTTGTGCTTTCTCGTCTCGCAGGTTCTCATGGATCCTGGTGGAGCCTCCTGCCATGGTCCTGCTTGACTGCCATTGCCAATACTGTTGTTGCTGTGCACCTGTCTGTCTGTCTGTCTCTCGCTCTCTCTCTCTGCCTCTCTCTCTCTCTCTCTCTCTCTCTCTCTCTCTCTCTCACCCCAACTGGTCGAGACAGACGACCACCCACCTAGAGCCGGAGGATCTGTCCTAGGTTTCTGCCTTTTAACAGGCAGTTTTTCCTTGCCCTTGTCGCCAAGTGCTTGCTCATGGTGGTACTGTTGGGTCTCTGTAATTAATGTTAAAGAGCTCGGTCTAGACCTGCTCTATTTGAAAAGTGTCCTGAGATAACTTCTGTTATGAATTGGCGCTATACAAATAAAATTGAATTGAATTGAATTAAATAATTAAAAACTTATCAAACAGTTATGTGAAAGATGGATAAGTGGGATCTGTAATGTAACACAAAAACAGAGCCTGAAGATAAAACTACATCAATCACGACACAAGATAAACATAAAGCACTAGGGGGCCCGTTAGCTCAGTGGGTAGAGCTGGCAACCCATGTACTGAGGCTGAGTCCTTGCTGCAGTGGCCCAGTGTTCGAATCCGACCTACGGTCCTTTGCTGCGTGTCATCCCCTCTCTCTCTCTGCCCCCCTTTCCTGTCTATCTTCAGCTATATCTATCATAAAGGCAATAAAAGCCCCAAATAATAGTTTAAAAAAAAACAAACTAAAGTACTAGATGACTGTCACACAAATATCTAAAACAATGGACAAGAGACCTAGCTATGCACATTTATCCTGAGAACTGTTTATGTTTAATAATCAAATCCTGGAAAATTTGGTGAGACTGCTGTGGTCGACTCTGGCCTGTATGGAGTTTTAATTGTCCTTGACCTTGGTTTTGTCTTAATCAGTCTGAAGAACTTTGTTGGCGTCAGTCAGACTGAGTTGAATAATCTATTTGTCAAACAGGTCCTTCTCTGTAATACTTGGATCTGCCTGATCTGATCCTCTTGTGGTTCCCCAAGGATCTATTTTGGGTCTTGTTACCGTTTACATGCTACCCCTGGGGAACATCATGCTTAGACATGACATTGATTTCCACTGCTATGTGGATGACATCCTATTGTACGTCCTGATAAAGCTTTATGTCCTTCCTTTCTAAAATAAATAATGTCCTACAATTAAATGACTCCAGATCTGTTGTGAATATAATAACCCCCTCTGTCCCCAGCTCTATCAGCATTAATAATCTCTCCTCCACTCTGAGTTCATTATTTAATAATGATCTAGAAGAGGCCTGCAACCTTGGTGTTATCTTTGATTAGTTGTATTTAGTTTCTCAGGTGACCAAAGAGGTGCAGTTCTGTTTTGCAACTGAGACAGCTGATCAAGATTGGGTCATTCCTTTTCTTCGGCATACGTAATATATAATCAAATATCATCCATGCTTTTATCTCTTCCAGCCTTGACTACTGCAGTGCACTTTTATTCTGAACTCAGCAGTAACATCCAAAGACTGCAGTTGATACAAAACACTGCTGCCAGGCTTTTAACTCTTACTAAGAGGAGTGACTACATTACACCACATTTACTGCTTGTTTTTAAGACCTTGAATGGTCTAGGTCCCAGAACCTTATCGCTGCCTGAGATCCTCTCGCAGGGCTCCACTATTGGTTTCTCAACCAAAGTTGACTTTTTTGCTGTTCAGTCCCCTCATCTGTGGGATTCCCAGGCTGCAGAAATCTCAGCATGTTTCCTAGCTTTGTGGATGACCTAGGCGTACATATCTGTTGGGGGATTTGGAGGTCCTCCTGCACATTTCATTACAAAATATACAATTTCACATAATTTTGGACCATTATTACAAAAGTTGGAGAAGCTATGGCATATAAGCAAAGAACACCCGAAAAAAGCTTAAAGACAAAACTTTCACTTTCATACCGTTTGGGTGCTGCGCCTGAACCTTATAATAGTGGAAAACCCTGATAAATTACTTCAGAGTCATTAAAGAGGATGTTTTCTGTCTTAACTGACTGAATTTACAGCTTTTGATATTTAACTGTAGACAATATCAAAACAATTAAATGCGAAAACACAGAAAATTAGAAGTAAACAGCTGAAAAAGGGAACAGTGGCTTCTGCACTGAGTTACAAACGTTTTCTAAAGCTCAAACTCAGTGACTGCATCTTGCCTGTGAGCATTTTATTTATCTGGGCCTTTGGTAGAAGAGCTCTGGGGCTCTTTTGTAGGAGAATCAGGGCCATTTGTTGCTCAACTGTCACTGCGTAAAGTCCCTTGATGCCTCCACAGTTGAATTATTAAATATTATGAGGTCCAGCTGTTTTTCTTCCAAGCGTCAGTTTGGAAGCGAAACAAGAAGCCAGATTTGTCTTTTCTGGGCTACCGTAGAAACATGGTGGACTCAGTAGAGGAGGAATCGCTCCCTCCGTGTATAAAATGAAAACATATGAATATCATATTCCATTTCTGACAATCGATCATAAATGTTACACACTGGACCCCCACCTCTCACTTTTATCAGCTTTTTCTTTTTCTCTGATATTTGAATAACTATTGAAATAACTTTATCTTGTTTATATTTTAAGTTCTGTTTTTTTTAAAGCACTTTGTAACTTTGATTTTGAAAGGAGCTTTAAATATAAATTATAGAATAGAAAATCTTTCTTCTTTGATTTGACATAAAATAAAGGTGAAACTGGAGTTTCGATATTTGAGTAAATGTTTATTCTGACCTCAGAGCATCAAATTAAAAATTCTGAGATTTAAAATAAATCAGAGTTTGACATGTTGACCAGGAGGGGGCGTGGCCTCAGCCTCCTCTCTGATGCCATCAGACGTCACTCTTCACTTGTCCGTCTGCAGGTTTCAGTATAAGAGCTGCTGCTCGCTGACTTTGGGTTTCCAGCAGCTCAGATCAGCTGCTCCGGTAGAACCTGATCCATCAGATTGATTCAGAGTTCCTCTCTGATGTGACCTGTGATGTGATGTTGGGTTGACTGCCTCTCTTACAGGCTGTTGCTTTTATTCAGCTGTGTTTGTCTTCATGTTGTTTTTAAGTACAAATGAGATCAGTCCAATGTTGGTAATGAGTCACTGAACTGAAGTCAGTTTTATTGTTTTTCTCCACCTTTGAATTTTTCCTTTGTGACTTATTGAACATGTAAAAATCTCTTTTAACCCTTTCAGGATCTTTCTTTTGTCTTTAATCAACTCGACATCTGTTTGTCTGTTTCTGATTGGTCAGAGTGAACAGCTGAAGTCTGCTCTTGTGTTTCTGTCAGGTTTCATTAGTGTTCAGTCGGCAGCGCTGATGGATGTTAATGTGTGAAAACTGATCGATGAACACATGAAAACAGTCTGTGATTTGATTCTCTGGAACCTGATCGTAAACATTTAATAGGAAACATCAGTAGGTTTTAAAATCTGCACTGACGTTAGAAACTGGTGATGTGGAGTTTCTGAAGTATTGATCATGTTTCCTGTCCTGTGCTGAGAGCAGAACACAGACTCTTCTCTCTCTCTCTCTCTCTCTCTCTCTCTGTGTTTGTGTGTGTGTGTATGTGTGTGTGTGTTGTTCCATTGATTTATCTATTGATTCTATTGATTCTTGTTACAGACACAGATTCTGTTTTGTTTGTTGCTTTTCAAAAAAACAGTGGAACACAATTCTTGTTTTCAGAAAACCAGGTGAAACTGTTACAGTGAGAAATGTGAAGAGAATTTATCACTTTAAGGGATCCTCATGAGTCTGCATTCACTTTTAATGTTGTGTGTCCTGATGATGAATGTTCCTGTTTGACAGCTGATCTACCATCTATCTTTAAACCAACAGCCCGAGAAACACTGGATTACACTGTTGTGTGTGTGACTGAAGTTTAATGTGTGTGTGTGTTTAAAGCTCATTTAAAGGAAGAAGTTTTATCTGTTTGAAGAATCACTCTCAACTGAAGATGCACGTTTGTTGCTATTTTATACATTTTGTTAACTTTCTGAAGATAAATTAACTTTATAGATTACTGGAGGTGTGAAGTGTTTGGACATGATGCAGAATAACTCTGAGATGATAATTGAGCTTCAAGGTCTGAACGACTCTCTGGCGAACCGTCAGATCTACTTCGCCTTAGCTCTGACGTCGTACCTCATCACCATCTTTGTCAACCTGATGCTCATTGCCACGGTCTGTGTGGAGAAATCGCTCCATGAGCCGCTCTACATCTTCCTGTGCAACCTGTGCCTTAACGGCATCTGCGGAGCGTCCAGTTTCTACCCAAAGCTGCTTCACGACCTTCTGGCCGACTCTCACATCATCACGTACGGTGGCTGTTTGACGCAGATTTTTGTGGTTTACAGTTATGTTTTCTGTGAGTTCACCAGTCTGACCATCATGGCGTTCGACCGCTACCTGGCTATCTGTAGGCCGCTGCAGTACCGGACGCTGATGACGGTGCAGAGGGTGGTGCAGCTGCTGCTGCTCACCTGGAGCTTCACACTGCTGGAGACGGCAGTGGGCGTCATCCTGACTGCCCGCCTGCCGCTCTGCGGGCGACACGTCACCAAGATCTTCTGCACCAACTGGGAGGTGGTGAAGCTGGCGTGCTCCGACACAACCGTCAACAACGTCTACGGCTTCGTGCTCACATTCTCGCACCTCTCGCAGACCGGACTCATTCTGGTGTCCTACGGCTACCTAGTCCGGGCCGCGCTCAAGTTGCAGTCCAGCCGCAGGAAGTTCATACAGACGTGCCTGCCGCACCTCATCACGCTGTTAGTCTTCACCACCTCGCTGATGTTCGACACCATGTACTCCCGTTATGGTAGCAGCACGCTGCAGGCGCTGCGGAACGCGCTGGCCGCAGAGTTCCTGGTGGTCCCGCCCCTCATCAACCCCATCATCTACGGCATCAACCTGCACCAGATCAGGTCCAAGATCTTCCACAACTTCACCGTCAAACCTGAGATCCCAAAACCACATTCATGAAAAACTCACGTTGACAAAAAACACTCGAACTGAGTAAAACGTACCGATTGGCTGATTTATCTTGTATGTTTCAATAAAATATTGAAGTGCTCCAGAGTGTCATGTAGCCCCAACGTGTTGTTAAAAACTGTAAACATCATTTTCACGCTGTTATTTAAATGTATTAAGTTAAGTTAATAAGTTGAAGACTTATATCAATATGGATGAAACGTGAGACATTAGAGAATCTAAAGGTTAAGTTTCGACTTATATTTTATCGTCATTTACACATAAATTGTTTCCTGTCACGTCTCAGATTTCTCCGAGAATATTATGGACCTGACGCTTTGTTTTATGTAACAAAGAAAACACTCACTTCATCTCGAGAAAGAAAATAAATTAATAACACTGATATAGAAACCACGAATATAAATATTACCAAATATATATTGAGTGAAGCACAAACATTAATGTTTAATTAAAGTAATAATTGAATTAGAATTCATTTCATTTTTGTTTCACTGAAAGTGTTGTACGACAAAGAAATCACAAACACTGTGAGGAAATTTGAAAATATTACATTTTAAATATTTTGAGAAAAAGTTAGAAAATTAAATATTCAGCAGCTGGTAACAGAAAGTAACTCATTAAAAAACAGTAACTTTCTATCATTAAAATACAGTATTTATCTTTTATTTTACATAAAATCTTGTGATTTATTGTCTTTTTAATGTTTAATTAAAGATATTTACAATGTAAAACAATGATCTATAAATCCAGGTGAACTCTGCTATAATACAATAATCAGACTTACATTGACAGCAGAGTGCTGTTATTATTGGATTGTTATTATTTTAATGTGAATGTTAAAAGTTATAGAAGTGTAATAAAAATCATTATCTGTGAAATTACAAAAAGTAAGCAAATGTATTTAAATATTTTTATGTATAGAAGTAATTTAATTATAATATATATATATATATATATATATATATAAGTACAGTACAGAAACGATCTGTAAATTTTAATTTTTACAGTGAAAAACAATTTAGGAAGTTGAAGTTGTGAAAAATGGTTTGATTAAAAATCTTGATTTTATGTCTTCCTGTTGGCTGAAAGTGAAGTAGAATAAAGAATAATAATAATAACGAAACAAACACAAAGACACATTTTACAGTTTTTATTGGCGGACTGTCAGAACTACAATAACAGCAGTCACACACGGAGGTCTCACTCTGTCCTCGTTCCAAAACACCAAACCGAAAACAAAAAGAAATCCTTAAATCAGCATTGACAGCGTCTCGTCGCCTGGACGCCGACCGGCACATAAATATCTTTTATCTCCAGTATAAAAATAAATAACATCCATAGAGAGTCAGGGGAAACATCAACAACACAAAGAAAGAAGATACAGAGACATTCTCCTTTCAGTCCACATATGGAAGCTCAGTCAGGACAAAACAGAGGTCAGAGGTCACAAACTCAAAAAGCAAAATTGTTGTAAAACGATTTTCAGTGAATCTATTAATAAATTCATCAACTAACAGTTTAAACTCAAATAGGTTTAAACTCTAGAGCAATTTCCCAGAGTGCACCGATGCAAGAACCATCCAATCAGAGACGGGGAGAGGAAGTCAGAGGTTGATCTGATGGTTAACTTTTATTTTATTTATTATATTTACCTCCGTAACAGTGGACTTGTACAACCTGTAACCTGTAATATTGTTATATTATAATATTACTATTTGACACTATATGGTGGTCTAATAACAATATTACAGATGTATAAAGATATTAACTTGTTTGTAGCATAAAATTAAAATCACCTCATGGGACTTTAGGGGCTCCGTAGGTTTGAAACTCAAAATATAGAAAACGCCTGAAAATATTAACAATAACATTATTACACAAAATAAACATCTCTCATTAAAGCAAGAAACAAATATCTCACTGTAACAACATTAACTTAACGAGATGATATTCAAACTGAATCATTTGGTTTGTAATAAGAAGAAAAATCTTTTTAAAATAAGGAGATTCTCTAACGGCAGCAAAAGGCCTCCGTACAATCACTGACTGATTAATGTGAATCTGTTTAGTCATGAATGAACTTCCATATAAGGACTAAACTAGTTTACGGTGTTTTTGGTTGTTTATTTCTGTTGCTAATACTTTATTGATCCTGCAGCTGATAACCAATCACAGTGAAAGAACCCCTCTTTGGTCATTTACCCATGATGCTCTCTGCTGTATGGTGATCAATGACAGAACACCAAACTAGATATTGATTTATCAGTTTTAGTGTCTAACATGAACTTTATTGATACCACAGCGTTGAAGCAGCGGCTGCTCTCATTCGTCTACAAACACGACAGGATGTGACATCAGCAACAGGAAGCAGCTGTGGGGGGGGGGGAGGCGGAGCTAGACGCAGCGGCGAATCAGGTTGTTCCTCTCAGGCTCCAGGAACTCGTCCAGCAGAGCGGCTGTGATCTTCCTGAGCTCCTCCTCCAGGCGGGACGCCTCGCTGCAACACAGACACACAGTAGTGATGTCAGCAAAGCCCCGCCCACACCGCAGTGATGTCATTAGACGTGACGGCGAGGCGGCGGTGGATTATGAGACGCATAATGAAACGCAGTGTTTAGTACAGACCTGTTCCCCGGGGAGGCGCAGTACTCCGTGTAGAATTTGATTTTGGGTTCGGTGCCGCTGGTTCTGAGCGTGGCCACGACGCCGTTCTGTAGCGTGAAGGTGATCATGTGACTGCTCCTCGTCACAGGAAGTACCTCCACAGGAAACAGAGAGGACATTTACTCACTCACAAACTGCTGTCAGTCCGTTTTAATCTTTAATGGATGGAAGACGTCTTACAGATCTGAGGTCGGGCTGGCTGCTGTCGTATCCCGTGGTTACGTCTCTGATGTGGACTATCTGCTCGCCACCGCACGTCTTCGGGTACGAACCTTCGCCGTCGAAGTTTCTGATCCGGCTGAAGATCTTCTGGATGGTGGGGGGGTCGTTACAGACCACGTAGGAGGTTTTAGACACGTGATAACCATACCTGCAGACAGGAAGTCACAACTGTCAGAATAAGAGTCTTTCTTTTATTCTTGCAGATAAACACAGCGGTGGATGGAGTTCCTGAATGCAACACACACACACACACACAGTGTCTGATATTAAAGGAAAGTGTCGGACGTTGGAGAATTATTCATATATATTTATATATAAAATGTCTCCAACATTAAAGTTTAAACCTGCACTCAGATCAGCTGTTTGCTGCCCTCCACTGGTAGAAACAATGAAACTGAACTAATGTTGGTTTTAATGTATTAATTATAAATAATAAGTGAGTCTGGTCAGTTGGATTATTTATGTGGTTTTATATCAAACTGATGTTTCTGCATCCATTTAAAAACCTTTTAAAATGATGAAATATTAAAAACAGTTAATATTGTTATTGATTTAAGTTGTTCATTAGATCTTTGAGATGAGTTGGATAATATAAATATTGAATTTTGGTCCTTTAAGATAAGTAAAGAACAATACTTAGTTCATTCTTTATCTATAAATATAATTCATTACAAGACGCTCTCAGTTGACAGGTAAGTTCAGTTATTGATTGATTATTGGATTATCCCACACACACTAACTGGTTCTGGTCCAGTTCTTTCTAAACTTTACTGGGTGAATGTTGGAATGTGTTCCTGAGGTTGTTTACAAGATTAAATAATAAAGAGAATATAATTTTATTAATGTTGTTGTTTTAACATATTGAAGTAACATCTGCAGTTCACCACTAGATGTCACTAAATCCTCCACACTGGACCTTTCTGTGGGACTGTAGGTCAGTGGTTCCCAACCTGAGGGTCGGGACCCCCACTAGGGGTCGCCAAAGCTTCAGCGAGGCCTTCTTGATTTTAAGGGGGTGTAAGAAAACTTAAACACGCAGTAGGTCTGTATCACAGAACGTATGAATATACTAATATTATATTAATAAGTAATATTTACTGGAAACAATCATCAGTGTGATCCCTACTTCCTTCCACAGTTTCAGTTGTTCTGTGCTGTTAATATCTGTAAATATGTCTACTCACTGAGAGAAAATGGGCCCCGACTACTCAGCAATATGGGTGTCAACTGAATGAAGGTACAGAAACACCAACCCAAGGTTAGACCTTTCTGTCAAAACCTGGTTCAGAGTGGAAGGAACCCTAACCCCCAACGATCCCAAACTAGATACAGTTCACCACATGGCAGGAGCCAGGTCTCACTATTCATTGTGACTTCTTTAAAGAAATCCTCACGTAGAAGAGACCCACACGGCTGAGACATCATTCATCTTTAAGGAAGAAGATCCGGAAAGATCAAGTTCTGGATTTGGAGTATGTAAAGGTTTAATTCCAGCACAGAGAGCTGACCCAGGTCTCAGAACCATACGAGGGCCTGCAAGAAGAGTTTAACTGGACAAATATGGTCAGATAATGAAACATTAGGCTGCAGATTACAATGTTTCTGAGCTGGATCATGAGATCTTACGTCTGGTAGATGTTGTGCAGTTGTTGGTTCAGACTCAGGTTCTTGTTGTGGAGGTAAGCCGCCATTTCAGCCACGACCGCCGCCGAGCTCACGCCGTCTTTCTCAGGGACCAAACTGCCGCAGAGGAAACCTGAACACATACAAACCAACTGTTACCTGAACTCTGGCAGAAGATTTGTATCTGTGCTTCATTAAAAGGGCCGACGCCTCTGTGGTTTCCAACTTGTCAGATGACAGTTTAACTTCCAGTTGAAGCATTGACCCGTCTGAAAGGTTCTGATATGGTTGGATCGACAATAAGAGGAGAGTGATTCTACTCTCTTCTCCTCTTATAATCTGGTCTTGGTCTCTGACTCTAATGAAAAGATTCAAACCTTTGTGGTTTCTGACTGTTACTTCTTTCTCCTGACATCCCTCAGCAGTCTGATATTTAACTATACAAACGTATGTATAGTTTAACTGTTAGAACTGCTCAGATCTACTCATTCATTTTTACTTATATTTGTATCCGTCTCCAGTTTCTATCATTATTTCCATCACTATTAGTTTTTGTCACTTTGTATTTAAGGTTCGGATGAGGAATAGTTGTGGTTCTCTGTTTCTCTCCATGTGCCACTTCAGATGAGCCTGCTATGTACGTATGTAGTATTTATTATCTATATTGAGAGCGTATGAATGAATACTATACAGACGAGTGTGAGACCCTTTTCTTACTGCTCTAGGAGAGTTACTCCCTGTTCAGGGTTGTTTCTGTATATGGGGGTAAAAGTAAATACTAATCTAAGCAGATATTTACTGTATTCGTTGCTTGTCAACGTTTCCAAATAAAAACAACAAAAACAACAACTTTATTCTAGGAAAGGCTGTGTGTGTTTAGTGATAAAAGAAAAGGGAAATCAGCTTCTGTTGCCCTCCGTAGTGAGTGTGGAGGAGGTCTGGACTCTTATAGGAAATACAGTAAAAAATAAACTTGGTTACCAATCGACTCTTCGAAGGCGAATATGACTGTGTTTCCTGTTTTGGAGAGTTCGTGTATTCTGTTCCCGATCCATTTAAAGCCAGGAAGAGTTTCCTGTTGAACACAGACAGACATCATCAATTACAGTCCTGACTACACTGACACAATGATTACTGATTGATCTGATGTTTCCCGGTTCCTCTGACCTCGAAGTGGAACCCCTCGATGCGAGCGAAGGCCTGCAGGATCTTGGAGGAGACTGTGGTGGCCAACATGTAAACCTTCTGAGAGTCTGCAGGATCTGGATGAGCCTCCTTCCAATTAAAGAACATCCACCAACCCAATAGAGCCGCCAGCTCGTTACCTGTGAACACCTTCCAACCGCACCTGTTAGGCAGGAGGATACAGGTAAACACACCTTTATAGTTGTAGTCATTGATTAACAGTAAACAGTTCCCAAACGAGTTTATGGACTCTCTAGTTTAATGTCTTCTTCCAGCAGATAAAAACGCACCAAACTCAGATCAAACTGAAACTCTGAGCAAACGTCACAGTTACCCGTCAGAGTTCTCTGCTACAGCCAAACGGTCGGCGTCAGGATCCGTCGCCAGAACGATCCGAGCGTTTTCTTTCTCTGCCAGAAGAAGTGAAAGTTCCTGGAGAACAGAAGAAGAAAATAACTGACTATTAAAACAAAAACAGTAAAACACAGAATACAATGAATCACTGGAAGGACTGAGATCTGTATCCTACCAGGACCGACGCTCCCTCCTCGGGGTTGGGGCAGCGGACAGAGGAGAAGTTGGGGTCGGGGTCTTTCTGCTCAGGGACAGGGATCGGCGGAGCGAAGCCAAAGGTAAGGAAGGCCTGTTGGACGAAGACGTGTCCGACACCGTGGAACGACGAGTGGACAAACTTTAATGGACAAATTCTGTTCAGATCCCTGAGAGACATGAGAGACACATTTTAGCCATTTCATCTTACCTGTGGAGGCAGGTGAGCTCAAATTCATTTGAACTACATTTGGTGCAGAGGTTTGAGAGGTTTGGGGACTGGCTGCAGAGGTTTTGGGGACTGGCTGCAGAGGTCTGGGGACTGGCTGCAGAGGTTTGGGGACTGGCTGCAGAGGTTTGAGAGGTTTGGGGACTGGCTGCAGAGGTTTTGGGGACTGGCTGCAGAGGTCTGGGGACTGGCTGCAGAGGTTTGGGGACTGGCTGCAGAGGTTTGAGAGGTTTGGGGACTGGCTGCAGAGGTTTTGGGGACTGGCTGCAGAGGTCTGGGGACTGGCTGCAGAGGTTTGGGGACTGGCTGCAGAGGATTGAGAGGTTTGGGGACTGGCTGCAGAGGTTTGAGAGGTTTGGGGACTGGCTGCAGAGGTTTGAGAGGTTTGGGGACTGGCTGCAGAGATTTTGGGGACTGGCTGCAGAGATTTTGGGGACTGGCTGCAGAGGTCCGGGGGACTGGCTGGCTGCAGAGGTTTTAGAGGTTTGGGGACTGGCTGCAGAGGTTTCAGAGGTTTGGGGACTGGCTGCAGAGGTTTGGGGACTTGCTTGCTTTGTCTTCTCACCTGTGGAAGCAGAGGGAGGTGAGCTCGTCCATGTAGCAGCTGTTGATCTTGGTCAGGGGGTCGGTCCTCAGGGAGCAGCTCTCCACCAGCCCCTCATCCCAGCAGGAGGAGCTCCAGGGCTCCAGCTGCTCCTCGATACTCCGCAGGATCTCCTTGTCATGAGGTGAGGAGATCTGAGCACCGTTACACCAGTACACCTGCAGAGGGCGATACAGATACAGACCATTCAGAGGCCTTCAGGAGGATTTCTGAGGACCACATTGGCCAAAATGGAACCCAACTGCTTTTTATCTGTTTATAGAGATCAACTGAAAAAATGGGTCCAGAGGGTGTTGATCAATGGGTCCAGAGGGTGTTGATCAATGGGTCCAGAGGGTGTTGATCAATGGGTCCAGAGGGTTAATCAATGGGTCCAGAGGGTTAATCAATGGGTCCAGGGGGTTAATCAATGGGTCCAGGGGTTATCAATGGGTCCAGAGGGTTAATCAATGGGTCCAGGGGGTTAATCAATGGGTCCAGGGGGTTAATCAATGGGTCCAGAGGGTTAACCAATGGGTCCAGGGGGTTAATCAATGGGTCCAGAGATTGATCAGAGATTGACTTGTGGTTTCTGACCTTGTATCCGTTGTCTTCTTTGGGGTTGTGTGAGGCTGTGATCATCACTCCGGCCGCTGCCCCGAGCTTCCTCACAGCGTACGGCTGAAAACAGACACACACAGTTAACGATAACTGCGCCCTCCGCCCCGTCAGCTGACTGCGGCAGGGAGGGATGCATTAGCGCTCTCTCACCACGTACGGCGTCGGGACGAACGTGGAGAAAAGATGAACAGGAACGTCTCTGCTGAGCATCACAGCAGCTGTTAGCTTCGCCAAACTGAAACACACAATAACAATATTAATAAAGATATTAATAATAATAATAATAATAATAATAATAATAAAGATATTAATAATAAAGATAATAATAAAAATAGGAATAAGAATAATAAAGATAATAATGATAATAATAAAGATATTAAAATAATAACAAAGATAATAATAATAATAAAGATATTATTAATAATAAAGATAATAATAATAATCATAATAATACTAATAAAGATAATAATAATAAAGATATTATTATTAATAATAATAATAATAATAATAATATAAGCTGCAGTCAGACACTTTAAAATCTGTAGAGTCTCGTTGTGGATTATGATGAAATCCAGGTCTGTGCTGTTATTATTATTATTATTATTATTATATATTTAAGTTCAGTGTTACTGTGTGTGTATAGTTACCGCTGACTGCTGCAGCCACTCTCCTCCTGTCCTCTGGTGTCGAAACCAACAACCACTCCTCTCCTGCTTAAGTCTGCACAGTACCTGGACAGGTACGAGTATAAACCCTGAGCACAGACAGAGAAGATACATATTATATACATATAATATATATTATTATATGTTTATCTCTGATGTGTTCTGGTGTTACGAGACAATAGAGAGATTACAGGAAGTGAAACCTGAAACTACAGAGGCGATACAGACTTGTGATGAAGTTCACTCTCCAGATTTTTGACGAGTTAAACTTCAGAGCTGAACAATGACTATTGTTATTTTCATTAAATCTGCTGATTATTTGTGCCTTTAAAATGTCAAATAACAGCGACAACAGTCTTAAAACGCCTCGTTTTATCCACAGCGGTTAACAGCAAATACTGACACAATACTACTAATAATACTACTAATAATACTACTACTACGACTAATAATAATAATAATAATAATAGTAGTTATGTATCTATTATTGAGTATTATTTATTTATAATTTTCTGTGAATTTTATTTTACTTTTATTCTTATCTGTACTTTCTATATTTAGCTAAGAGTTTATTGTTTACTGTTTATTGTTTACTTCTATATTTAGCTAAGAGTGTATATTGTATCTTATACTGTATTTTTTATACCTCTTTTATTTTGTGTGTGTTTTGTAAGCTGCTGGAAATTCAATTTCCCTGAGGGAGTCATCCCAAAAGGATCAATAAAGTGAAGTCTAAAAGTAAACTGACCAAATTCATCAAACCCAGAACAGCTGATAAACTGAACAATGAACTGAACCACAGTTTGGATCAATATTAATGATGAACTTTTGATCCAGTGCTGTTTGTTTTATGTTTTTGGTTTGATCTTTAACAATCATACAGACTTAATAAACTTCTTCTTTGACTGAGTTCAGTAGAATATACAATTATTTGAATTATTCAGTTTACATGCAGTTTAAAAAGATTCCTGATCAAGTTGTTTTTAAGTTGTTTTCACAGTACAAATAGATACATTTAATTTAAATCACTTAAATTAACTAAAGCTGTTTGATCAGGAATGTTTTTTAACACTTTGAGTTAATTAACTTCATTAACTACATTTTACAGTGTAATCCAAACTTTAAATTTAGTTTCTCCACAGAAATGAATAAATGTTGAGATACAGACTGTTTATTTTTAAAGGTTTCTAGAACACATTAAAATCAACAAGGCCTCTATGAAGCTTTGGTGACCCCTAGTGGGGTTCCCGACCCTCAGGTTGGGACCCAGTGTACTGAAGCATAAACGAATAGAGACTGCTGTGGTTGTGGACCAGCTGTGGTAGTGGACCAGCTGTGGTAGTGGACCAGCTGTGGTAGTGGACCAGCTGTGGACCAGCTGTGGACCAGCTGTGGTAGTGGACCAGCTGTGGACCAGCTGTGGTAGTGGACCTGCTGTGGACCAGCTGTGGACCAGCTGTGGTTGTGGACCAGCTGTGGTAGTGGACCAGCTGTGGTTGTGGACCAGCTGTGGTAGTGGACCAGCTGTGGTTGTGGACCAGCTGTGGTTGTGGACCTGCTGTGGTAGTGGACCAGCTGTGGACCAGCTGTGGACCAGCTGTGGTAGTGGACCAGCTGTGGATCAGCTGTGGTAGTGGACCTGCTGTGGACCAGCTGTGGTTGTGGACCAGCTGTGGTAGTGGACCAGCTGTGGACCAGCTGTGGTTGTGGACCAGCTGTGGACCAGCTGTGGTTGTGGACCAGCTGTGGTAGTGGACCAGCTGTGGACCAGCTGTGGACTTGCTGTGGACGTGAACTGACCTGTGTGGACTGGATGACAGTGAGGTCGTTGATCCGGCTGAATCCGGCTCCCATGGCGGCTCTGAGTCCCGCCGTCCCGAAGCTCATCCTGCTGCAGAGCCTTTTCCTCAGATCGCCCAGGCAACCCGCCGCCACCAGAGACTCCAGCTGAGCCCGGGTCCGGTGGTTCTGCAGCAGAGGACAGAAACCATCAGCGAGCCGCCACAGAGCAAATAACTGTGGTTCTTCCCAACATAGATTAGCTTAGCACGTAGCATATCTGAGTACAGGGAAGTTGGCCTGTTGACGATACGTTTTATGGGTCAGCTGGAGCGGACCAATGGAACCAATGGAACCAGTGGAACCAGTGGAAACAATGGAAACAGTGGAACCAATGGAAACAATGGAAACAGTGGAACCAGAGGAACCAATGGAACCAGTGGAAACAGTGGCACCAATGGAACCAGTTGAAACAATGGAACCAGTTGAAACAATGGAACCAGTGGAACCAGTGGAACCAATGGGCTTGGAGCTGAGAGCCACACACAGGAAGACAACAACAACAACAGACTGTAAACACATTAAAACAACCACAGTATTGACCTGTAGAGCTCATTGATTACTAATAACAGTCTCAATATATCGAGACTGATTACAGTTCGGACTGTCAATAATAGAAATAGAAATTCTCTCTCTCTCTCTCTCTCTCTCTCTCTCTCTCTCTCTCTCTCTCTCTCTCTCTATGATGTAACACTGTACATATTGCTAAAGCAAGTGTTTGGAATTAAAAATAATAATAAAAAAATAAAGGAAAACAATATTTACAATAAATGAATTATAATCTATACTGTTGGTAATACTGTAACTATGATTGACTCAATCCCAATCACAGTCACAATCAATCAATCTCAGTCAATAAGTAATTAATTACAATCAATCAGTTTGTGTTAACTACAAATGTCATTAAAACAGTAGTAAAGTAACTACAGTTAAAACAAGCAGTCTGTTGTCAATATAACAGTAATAACTAATTATTCAATCTAATATATAATATATATAATATTAAAATATATAAAAATAAAAATAAAATAGATACAACTGTAAACGTGTGTGTGTGTGTGTGTGTGTGTGTGTGTGTGTGTGTGTCCCTCAGGTTGTGGCATGTTAATACATACTGGGCAGCAAGGTGTGCCCGCTCTCCTCCTCCAGGAGTATTTTTAATTTGGAGAGGTCGTTCAGCTCTTTGAAATCTGGAACCAAAGAGCTGAACTTAAATAAATGTTTCTAGTATTATTTAATGTTGTACATTGTCTCTGTCTCAACCTCACCTGTCCAACAGTGACCACATTTTCTGTTTTCTTTTGGTTGCCATGATGTTTTGTGTCTTCCTGTTTGGATTGGCGGTTTGTGGTCACTGAGCCTGTACTTGGTTAGGATCTGTCTCTGCTTTCTATCTCTGACAGTAGAGAGATATTCTGCTCATTCATAATCTCTTTTAAGGGCAAGATAACATTCCAATCTACTTTGGCTTTTAGTTGTTTCTTCCCAATGGTCCAGATAGCTTTCTTTACATTGTGCTATCATTTACTCTGATTACAGTTTGTAGAGCAGTGTTGTTGTGAGGCTGGTCAGAGTGTGTCTGTCTGTGTGTCTGTCTGTCTGTCTCTCTCTCTCTCTCTCTCTGAATCTGTGAATCTGTTCCAGACTGTTGACATTTACAGTCGAGGTCAGCAACATTCATGACCTTTAAAAACTACACAGCTCTGAGTTCAGTGTGTGTGTGTGTGTGTGTGTGTGTGTGTGTGTGTGTGTGTGTGTGTGAGAGAGACAGCTGCTACATGCTAACACACACACACACACACACACACACACACACACACACACACACACACACACACACACTTATATGCCATCCATCAGAACACACTAACTGTTCATTGACTGATTAAACTCATTCAATCTGAAGACTTCAGTGTGTGAATGTGTTGCTAGGAAACCTCTGCAGCTCCGTCCAATCAGGAGCAAACAGGAAGTAAACAGGAAGGTTTCTCCATATGTCTGCGTATGTGGAAATCACAGAGCAACCACAACAGGAAGCTTAGTGTGTGGACTTTGAATATTGGCAGTTTTAAGTAAATCCAAAGTAAATCCTAATATCACCCTGCACCAGACTCCATTCATAAAAACACTGATTTTACCTTCAGATCATTGTAACTTCATTAAAGTGGACAGAAACAGAATCAAACTCATTAAAAGCGTCTCTGTTAGTGTTTCCAACAATCACCAACTCTGGTTTGGTGGAAATAAATCCTTAATTCACCGACGTAGATGATAAAAACAGCAGTTTCAGTCGGAGCAGACCGGCTATGGAAACAAACCACAGAGAGGCTGCGATACAACACAGGCAGAGGGAGAGAGACAGGCAGAGGGAGAGAGACAGGCAGAGGGAGAGAGATAGGCAGAGGGAGAGAGACAGGCAGAGGGAGAGAGACAGGCAGAGGGAGTGAGACACCATGTGACTCTGTATATAGAGAATATAATGTTATCTGATATATTAATGTTTATATACAGATTACTTTATTATTCATAATAGAGAATATAATGTTTAATATCTCATAGAGAAGCTTTAAAATAATCTGTTTTCCAGACACACAGAGGAATACAGGAGGCAGCAGTTAGACGGTTGGCTCATGATGATGATGATGATGATGATGAAGCATCGATATAAACACATTAATCATTTTGAGTGCCACTAACAGCACAGGCCTGTTTCTGGCTGCCTATAAAGAAAAACAGCTGAGTCATGCTGCCGTTTAATCGCCTGATGATCTCCATCACGATGCAGACACACACACACACACACACACACACACACACACACACACACACACACACACACACACACACACACCGGCTGCTGCCTGTCCTCCAGCCGGCCTGCAGCTCCGCACTGCGGGGAGACACAGTCCCCGAGCCCGGCCCCACACATCACACAGGGTGACAGGGTGATTGTGAATGACACAGTTAACTTTATTTTACATTTTATTGTGACTGCAACCAGCTCCCACACACACACACACACACACACACACACACACACACACACACACACACACACACACAGAACTCCCGTTTAAAACCTGCCAGTTTTAGATTTACTTGCACACAAAAGTTAAAGTTACACTTAGTAACAGGATTTAATAAGTTTTCTTCACTGGTTGATTCTAAGGAAGAATTCGGAAAACAGAAATTAAACATAAAAGCTCTTTAAAACCTTTTTTTAATCTTCCCTAAACGCCTTCAGCAGAGCAGATGAGCAGCAAACAGCCCCCACAGCTGCTATCTAATAACATACAGTGGTTTTTAAATCAATCATTTTCCCGCCGATGTAACCAGACGATGATAAATATCGATTACATTCAGTATCTGAACCCCGTGAGTCTGCATGTGTTTACCAAGAGCCGATGTATTTTTAAAATGACAGATTTTCCAGGGAAGTTTGGTGTGCAGCTTCCCGGACAGCCTCTCACCTTGTCCCAGGTCAACCACTGGTGCACCGCCTTGTCCAGCTGCGGGTCGCCGGTGCTCCGGTACCGGGAGTTGGCGTTCAGATCCCCGTTAACGTCTCCCATGCTGACAGACAGAGGCTACCGGCTAACGCTGCAGCTGAGCCATTGAACTGCGGGGTAAAGTAGCAACCAGCTAGCGGGCAGAGCCGTGGTACCGTGTTAGCTCCCGGACCCTGAACCCGACACACATCGAACTCCTCTCCTCTTTGTTATGGCTGCCGGAGCTCAAATGTCCCACTCTCAGTATCGGCCTTAAACTGCACACCGGAGGCTAATGTTAGCAACAGGCTAAAGTTACAGTAGAGAGCAGTTAGCAGTTAGCATCCAGCTAACAGGGACCGTTACTCGGTTTCACAGGACACAAACACTTCCGGTCGGTCTTCAAAATAAAAGTCTGCTTATTCTTTGGGTTTTAATGGCAATTGAAACGTTTAATAAATAATAAATTACATTTTTTGAGTAATTAAACTTTAGATTTTTAGGTTTCAAAATAAATCAGTTGTGTGAGTTAAGTTGTATTGTCTTGGTGTTGCAGTCTGATGAGTTGTATAGTATACAGATATATAAATATATATATATATATTTATTTATATATCTGTACACGTATACGATAAACTGAATGTAAGCAACTTATTTTGTCCTACATCACATTTATGTTTGGGATTGTTTCCCCCTCCCAAACAAACTGCGTTGTTTTTAAGAACCAAGATCTCGTCACATAAACCAGATCAGATTGTAGGAACCAGATTGATTAGGTTTATTGAACAGGTGTAGAAACAGAAACAGAAAGTGCCCTGTAGGAACAGGTAACTACCTAGCTAGTGTTTTCCTACAAAACGAGGTATTTTTGTGACGGGTTAATAAGTAAAAACCCTTAAGGTAAGGTGTACTGGACCCTTAATTTACCCCTTAAAGGACCTTAGCTGTAAATTGTAAACTGAGGCTTTTATTATTATTTGTTTTAGCCATTGAAATACATGAAGAAGACCAATTTAAACCTTTATTAGAACCCAATAATGATCCTTCAAAGCTGCAGTGTGTAATATAATGTTCACAAGTATGTTTTCATTAGTGTATAATCACCGTTGTCGCTGCCACCAGTTTCTCAGTTGTGTTAGGAAAGGGAGGGTGACGTGAGTGACTCGCAATCAGAAACTTCACCACTAGATGCCACTAAATCCTACACACTGGACCTTTAACGGACGCCAAATTTGGGATCAACCCTCGAACATTTACCCAGTAAAAACACTGAATCTGAACCTTACATGAAAAGTTCATTTCAAAGTCGAATTCAGAGCCACTTTTATTTTGAAAGGGAGTTAAGGGGTCATTTTAGCTAGCGAGATTCAACATGTAAAAGAACACATCCTGGAGGTCTTTGTGTTCCGCACACAGAGATTAAACTGACAGAGTTCAAACAGAACGTCATGTTTTAATCTATAAAGTCAGTTTCTACGCCGACGATCCTCCGCTGTCTTCGTCAGTTCCAGGTGTCTGTCCGTCCATCAGCTGACAGTTGAACTGGTCCCTGAAGGCGTCCAGCAGGTGAGGGATGGTCTCCTCCACGCTAACGTCTCTCTGCAGCTCAGCGCTCAGCGACGTCACTCCTTTACCTTCGATACCGCACGGTACGATGTGGCTGAACCACGACATATCGGTGTTACAGTTCAGAGCCAAACCGTGAGACGTGACGTATCGACCGCAGTGGATTCCTACAGAACGAGATAAGAATGAAAGTAGAAATCTAAATAACCGGAGCCTTTCCAGTTCAACCCTCAGACATTGTCCTAAGCCCCGCCCATTTTTGGGTTGAGCAAGCCTCAGTCAACTTCCCCCTTTTCTGTGCTACATGCTATGTGCTAATCTAATCTATGTTTAAAAGTCAACCACGTTTTGAAGATGGTTGAAAGATAACAGAGACACAAGTTAATGTTAGCACAATGCTAGCTGACTAGCTACATGCATGAAGCAGAGGTTGTCGTCGTACCGATGGCGCAGATCTTGTTGTCTCGGACCCAGACTCCGGTGTGGGGGGACGTCGACGCCTCGATACCAAACCTGCTGCAGACGGAGATGATGGTCTTCTCCAGCTCACAGACGTACCAGCGCACGCTCTGAGAAACCAGATCAGACGTGAACCAGAGTCCGGTCACATTAAACCACATCAAACTCAAGAGTGAACCAGACCTTCTTGAAGCCGCCCAGGTTGAGGACCGGGTAGCAGACCAGCTGTCCCGGCCCGTGGAACGTGATGAGGCCTCCTCGGTTGGTGCGGTGGACCTGGGCCCCCAGCAGGCGGAGCTGGTCCAGCAGGGGGGCCGGGTAAGGCTTGTGGCGGATCCCGGTGGTGTAGACCGGCGGGTGCTGACACAGCAGCAGAGCGTGAGCCGGACCAGATCGGTGGCGGTTCACGTAGACCTGCTGCAGCCGCAGAGCCTCCTGGTAGGAGACCAGGCCCAGACGGACCACCTCCACCACCGGCCTGCAGCCCTGCATCCTGGACTGGACCCGGACCCGGACCCGGACCTGCAGACGGGACAACACTTTCATTAACGGTTGTTCTTTTACATTCAACGGTTTCAGTCTGGAACATAAACACATCATTAACATATCTCTCTTACTGAAGACAGCTGCACTGTTATTGATCTCTGATGATCAATAACAAACACTGTAACACTGTGTATCACCAATCATCCACTTATTGATCAGTGATCAGATCAATCTGATCTGTGACTGGAGGGTTTGACCTCTTTCATATAAACATTAACTCTGTTTGATCGATGTCATTCTGTATTGATAATCAATCAATAGGATTATTACTCTCTAACTTCGTTCAGCTCTCCTCTCTGTGCGCCGCCATTGTTGTTGTTCACCTCTTCTTCCTCGACGGTTCTGTTTCCGGTTCCGGTAGCGCTCTGCTTCCTCCTGCCGGCCGGAACATAGATCCTTTCACAATAAAACTAAATCGGTTTATTACCAAGTAGGTTCTCACACACAAGCTACCCGGTGCATTACAATAAAACAAACAGAAATAAACTTCAGTACAGATTTATTTTATATATTATTGTTTATATATTATTATATATTTATTATTTATTAAAGTATAAAGTTAAAAGAAACCGTTACTGACACGCGCGGATGATACTTTCCCACAGTTCAACGGGGTCCTGAATGCAGCAAGTTAAATACGACATAGAAAGTTCCCACTCGCCCTGAACGAACCGCAGGTGACGTTGTAGAAGTAGGCGTGGTTACCGTGTAGCCCCGCCCGCTGCGTTTGGCGGCAGGGCGGGGTTTGTTGTGAGAGCGGACGGAGAGAGAAGACTCACCAGGGAAGATGGCGACCGCAGGGTCCGCCGAACGGCCTGCCAGACCGGCCAGCGCCGCCACCGGCAGGCACCGGTCCGGGTCCGGGCCTGGAGCTGGGAGCGGGTCCGGGTCCAGCCCGCCAGAGACCGAGGCGAAGAGGTGCTCGGTGTGCGCGGAGGGGCAGCCCGGCGGCAGCCCGCCCTGCGGACACCCGGCCTGTCCGCTGTGCCGAACCCAGAGACACTCCGGCGGGGAAGAGCGGCTCCGGAGGAGGAGTGACCCCGAGAGGAGCAGCAGCAGGCCGGGCAGGAGGGACTGCGACAGCCGGAGAGGTTGGTGCGTTTACCGGGGAAAGTGCAGATCACAACCCGCTGAATGAGCTCCGCCGCCGGCTGCTTGTTCTCCAAACAACCGCTGAAAAACAACCAGAGTTCAAATAAGTTTATTCTAACTTTAATGTGAAGAGCAGGAGGCCTGAAGAGTTTGTAACAGGTAGAACTGACTCCGGGTCGGTTCACAGTCATTAACAGCACTTATACAGACAGAATTAAAACCAGACTTTTCCTTATGGAGTTTGGTACGAAGCAGCTGAAGCAGAAACTGACCTCCAGTTAGTGAAGTTACACTGAAATCAGAGAGAATATGATGTAAATATATATATAAACTGATCTCAGCATACATTTATTGTCTCAGTTATTAACCTGATTCATTGATATTAATGTGTGAAAGCTGCAGACAGCAGATACAAACTGGGGACTTCTCTAGTTTGGGTCAGATTTCTAATGAAGTCTGGTGTTGGAGGACTTGTCCAGACGTGTACAGCTGGAGGAGGAGTTAGTCCAGATACTGTAGTTACTGACTGTTTACTGACTGTTACTATCTTTTACTGACTGTTACTATCTTTTACTGACTGTTTACTGTCTGTTACTGACTGTTAACTGACTGTTTACTGACTGTTACTATCTTTTACTGACTGTTTACTGTCTGTTACTGACTGTTTACTGACTGTTAACTGACTGTTAACTGTCTGTACTGACTGTTAACTGACTGTTAACTGTCCTTTACTCACTGTAACTGACTGTTTACTGACTGTTACTATCTTTTACTGACTGTTTACTGACTGTTTACTGACTGTTACTATCTTTTACTGACTGTTTACCGTCTGTTACTGACTGTTTACTGACTGTTAACTGACTGTTACTGGCTGTTACTGACTGTTACTGACTGTTAACTGTCCTTTACTCACTGTAACTGACTGTTACTTGCTGTACTGACTGTTAACTGACTGTTAACTGACTGTTTACTGACTGTAACTATCTTTTACTGTCTGTTACTGTCTGTTACTGACTTGTTACTGTCTGTTACTATCTGTTTACTGACTGTTTACTGACTGTTACTATCTTTTACTGACTGTTAACTGTCTGTTACTGACTGTTTACTGACTGTTAACTGACTGTACTGACTGTTTACTGACTGTACTGACTGACTGTAACAGGGGACTTATTCCTTACAGAAAATAAACTAAGATTATAATAATTAAATGCAGTTTTTAGCTTTAATTTTACATTTAATGTGTCACTTATTGTCTCTTTAATGTTTAATTAAAGATATTTACAGTGTAAACAATGATCTATAAATCCAGGTGAACTCTGCTATAATACAATAATCAGACTTACATTTCCAGCAGAGTGCTGTTATTATTGGATTGTTATTATTTTAATGTGAATGTTAAAAGTTCTAGAAGTGTAATAAAAGTCATTATCTGTGAGATTACAGTAATTATTGCTGTTTACACTGATAACAACTGTATTTGGACAGTTTACCTTATACACTGATAAACAACATTTATTCTACTTCCATCATTATACAACATATCTGTCAGTTAACTCACTAATACATTAAAGTTACACAACTAATACTTTATTTACTGTTAATGTCACTGATTTTATATAATTTTATAAATGTATCATTCAGTTATAATTCCAGTAGTTATTGTCTGCGCTGTATATTATATGTAAGGTTTGTGTGATGAGATGATTTATTTTACTGGATATAAATATAAAATACATTAAAGTCTGTCAGAAAACGTGTTATAAGGCGACATTGAGAGGATTTAACCTGCACATACACTCAACTTCTATTTGTCTATTTAAATATGTCGTCTGGTTTCTGCACAATAAATCTAAATATTAATTAAATCACAATAAAAGATGGATTTACAGTTAACATAACACAAGTTTAAATAATGGACATTTTTCATCTGTTGTTTTCTATCTTCAGAGTTCTTCGTCTCTCCTCTCAACCCGAAGTGTTCAGACGTTTTATCGGCACCGAGCGGGAAGCACAAGGTGAGTCTGATGTCCTGCAGTCAGTGAACGCAGCACGGGGTTTTAATGGGTGTGTGTGTGTCAGTATTATATTTATATTTTACACACTAACATACAAACAGTTCATAAAACCTGAAGTTTGAATCCATCAATCGATTCGTTTATTGAGAGAAAATCTGTGAAGGTGTCAATCAATCGATGAATGGATCAATAATGTTTCACTGCGTTGTGTTTGTACTGGTTCAGCTGTTGTTGTCTGAAGACCGCGAGGACGTGAAGAGGAGGAACGAGTCACTGCGACACGATGAAGAGCCTGTAAGTTACATTAATATCTGAGTATAACTAACTTACAGCCAGAGACTAATGCTAAGCTAGCAGCATCCTCCTCCTGATGCTAGCTGCTCACTCCACCTGTGGTTCTTCTTCTACAAACATTACATCTTCACACGTTCCTCAAAATCCACGTTTCTCTCTCAGGGAGTTCTGTCGGACTCGGAGAACGAGGAGCCGATCAGCAGGAGGATCAGAAACATCTCGGCTTTCATCAGGAAAACCAAAAACTGTGCAGCCTTCACTGGGTGAGCACCAATTCTTCTTCTTCTTCTTCTTCTTATCATCATTAGCTCTGCTGACAGGAAGTCGTTCCAGTGTTGAAGATGTGTTTTTCTTCTTCAGTGGTTCTCAGAGGAGTCAGAGCTGCTCTGACCCGGTGGAGGACCGAGGAGGGAAGCTGAAGGTCGTCACCCAGCCGGCGCTGATGGACCGAGTACGTCATTAAACCTTTCAGTTTATAACTGAGTCCGACTCTCAACATCTAAACCCGGTTCTTGTTCCTCTGTTGTCAGGTTGGTATCAGTCACAGCTACACGGCAGGAATCCTCCTCTCGTCTGAGAACAGTCGCTCCGTCTCAGCGCCGATCACCGCTCCCGACCGGAGGCTCACCTGGCGAGCCGTCATCTCGTCATCGTCGTCGACTTCTCTGGGCCTCCCACCGCCCCGCCCCGAGCGCTCCATCAGCCCCGAGAGCAACGACAGCATCTCCGAAGAGCTCAACCACTTCAAACCTATAGTCTGCTCGCCGTGCACGCCGCCCAAACGCCTCCCGGATGGCCGTCTCATGGAGCCCACCATTGTGAAGTCCACGCCCAGGAACCTGACCCGCGGCTTGCAGAAGGCCACCAGCTACGAGGCCAGTCCCGCCGTCCTGCAGAAGTGGAGGCAGATCGAACTCGACCGCCAGAGCCTCAAAGTGAACTCCAAGGCGACGCTGACGAGCCCCGTCAACGAGCTCCACAGCAAGACGGGAGGCGGGGAGGACGGCGGGGTCGGCGCCGCAAAGACTCGTCAGTCCCCAGCAGGACGGGACGGAGACGGAGTGACGGCGGTCAACAAGAGGAGGCTGCTGTTCGACCCGCCTGCCGCAGACTCGGACACCTTCCAGAAACAGTCCGTAAAGATCCGGGTCCCTGCGATCCGCTACAGCACCGACGCGACTTTCAGAGGAAGTTCAGACTTTGAGCCCACAGTTGGCGCTCCCGAATCCGGCAGCGGAGGAACGTTGTTTAGCCGAAAACAGTCGTTCTCGCCGTACACTAAGAACTCTGGTTTCCAGTCGTGTAAATTAGTGCCAAAGGACTCGCAGAGTCCGAGGAAGGAGTGTGACAGTAGCCTCCACAACCAGTCTACCTCAAGGAGGGGCAAGAAGAGGGAACAGAAGACCAAACACCTGGACGCGGACCGGGACTCGGACCTGAAGAGGAGCCGGTCGGTCAGCCAGGAGGCCCTGGACGAGCGGTACATCCGTCAGATCCAGCAGGAGCGTCAGGACCGAGCTCTCGCCCTGAAGCTGCAGAGACAGTTCGACCTGGAGAACCAGACCGTCAACCGCAGGAGGAGCCCCGACACTTACTTCCTGCGGTCCTGGATGTCCAATCAGAACCGCAGGAGGTGTGGCTTGAGGAGATCCCGACGAATCAACAAGAAGCACTAGAGAGGAGTTCGTCTGGAAGAGGTTGAAATATGCAAAGTGACGACAGGTGAAGGTTTAATGAATGTGGAGCGAACTTTAAACTCACTGCTGAGGAAAAAGCTCATAAATCTTAAAACTGAACATTTCTTCCAAACATTGTCTTTTCACCAGCAAATCACCAAAATCTGAACAGTCCCATCAGGATCTCACTGAAGTAAACTCATCAGGTTCTGGAGGACAACCTGATTCATGTGACTTTATTTTGGGTAATAGATTAAATAATGAATCGATCAATCAAACAAAGCCATAAATGCTGTAAATCAAACCTGGCTGATACCATTTCTCTGGATTTAACTGTTGGAGGCAACGGGGCCACTGGAGGTCTGGAGCTTTAGGGGCCACTGGAGGTCTGGAGCTTTAGGGGCCAATGGAGGTCTGGAGCTTTAGGGGCCACTGGTGGTCTGAAGCTTTAGGGGCCAATGGAGGTCTGGGGCTTTAGGGGCCAATGGAGGTCTGGGGCTTTAGGGGCCACTGGAGGTCTGGAGCTTTAGGGTTCACTGGTGGTCTGGAGCTTTAGGGGCCAATGGTGGTCTGGGGCTTTAGGGGCCAATGGAGGTCTGGAGCTTTAGGGTTCACTGGTGGTCTGGAGCTTTAGGGGCCAATGGTGGTCTGGGGCTTTAGGGGCCAATGGAGGTCTGGGCTTTAGGGGCCAATGGAGGTCTGGAGCTTTAGGGGCCACTGGAGGTCTGGAGCTTTAGGGGCCACTGGAGGTCTGGGCTTTAGGGGCCAATGGAGGTCTGGAGCTTTAGGGGCCACTGGAGGTCTGGAGCTTTAGGGGCCAATGGAGGTCTGGGCTTTAGGGGCCAGTGGAGGTTTGGGGCTTCAGTTAAAGAATGGAACTGGTCCCAACATGTCCACCATCTTCACGTTTTCATGAGCTTCTTTCAGAACCGTGTCCGGGCTGCTGGACCACGTTGAGGAGACCTGAACCCCCAGTTGTCCTCTGATGAGTGTCTCTGGATCCTTCAGCAGCCCAGGAACCAGGACTATAAAGACCATCAGACCAATAACAGTTCTCCCACTACGGGTTCTGGACAGTCTTCCAGTCTGAACATTTGTCAGACGTTCTTCGGGTGTCGACCCCAACGTGTTGAAGCTCTGGATGGACTCTCCTCTGCTGAGGCTCATGGGTACTGTAGTCTTTAGAGCCATTCACAGAACAGACCTGGATCAGGAGACTGTGACCCGCCTTGTGTTGTTGGTGTTTGGGGTCCGGATTTAAAAAAGCTTCCGGGTCCGTTGGAGGAGTCCGTGTTTCAGTCCAGATCTCATACGTTCTGGAAATGAATGAATTAATAATGAAATTAATGATTAGTTGCTGCCCTGAATGAACTAATGTAAAATCATGTGAGACAAATATAAAATACCCAAATAAACAGATAAAAGACAATAACAACAATTAAGAGGGAACATGAATAAAATAATCAAACAAATATTGACCATAAATTTACATTCGTAGTCTCTAAAACATCCGTCAGTGTTCTACTGAAATACTCCGGAAACATAAAGAAGTATTAACTTTAAGTATTTGAACACCTTTAAAGGTCCAGTGTGTAACACTATTTCTAACTTCACCGCCCTATAAATGTTATATATACACACATACATACATACACATATATGTGTATGTATGTATGTATGTATGTATGTATGTACACGCAACAGTGATTAAACATTAATAAAAACACACTCACACAGTTATTATATCTGGTTCCTGGCAGTAGATCGTCCTCACTGTTACACACTGGACCTTTAAATCAACCTTCAGGACAGAATAAAGACGCCGGCGCTGATTGAACAGGTTGAAATATTCAGATATATTTCATTTCATAGCAGAAATACACGTTTAAAGCTTCAGTTTCAGAATAAAAGCACTTGATCAGATGTTTATTGTGTCATATAAATAGTGAAAAGTATAATGTTTCCCTCTGAAGTGATGAACTGTAGACGAGTTATACAGAAGCTCGTTTGTGCCAATGTGACTAAAACAAGGATTCTGTAAGTCATTATAATGAGAAACGTACTCAATGTTTGATTTAATGTCTCTAAAATAACAACTTTGTGATATTAAAACATTATCGTGAGAAAGTTTCTCATTATTTTAACTTACAGAATCTTTTTTTCCGTCACTTTGGCACAAACAAGCTTCCGTAGGATAAAGTCAGACTCCAGTTAAATACCAGAACCTGACAACTGTAAGTAAAAGTAATGTGAATGTGGTTCAGCTGTTGTTTTACGGTCCTTTATTGATTGTGTCAGATGATCATGTTTATTGATTTCTTTTGGTTTATGGACAGAGTTTGAAGTGTTTCTCTTCAGAGACTCTGAAGGGCTTTTTTTACTCTCTACCACACCGATATGCACATTTTCTAAAGTTGTAGTAAAGCTTTGGTCCTTTGGTTGAAGCAGTCTGACGGGTGGGGGGGGGTTAATGCTGAGTGCCAAATGACGTTTATAATTGTGTACGAGAGGAGACCAACAGAAGAGGACTCTCAACACGTGTTCTGTCTTCTTTTCATAAAGTTTCTGATGTGAGTCTCTGTCTCTTTAATGTACGTTTCTAGACGTTACACAAACACAACAACAGTTATTATATATTATTGATTAACAGGAAACTATTGATGATCAATAAGTCCTTTATGGCACAACGGTTGCTGCTTGGAGATGTGACCAAAACCAGACATTATAATGAGGAACTTTGTTCAAATATTGACTTCCATACAGATATTCTGGAAATAAACAATGTTGGAAAATATAATAATATATTTAAAGATTGACTGGATGGAAGCATCTCAGACCAAAACACTGCCGGCGCTACCACACCAGACTCCATTCATAAAAGCGGTGATTTAACCTCACTGTGAGACAGCATGGACTCTACCTGGAGAATATAATGTTTAATATCATATAAATATTAATGATATTGAGTTTTTAAGCAGCTGATCATTTTAAGATAAAATCTTAATTGAAGTAAAGTTGCCTCACAGTGACTTTCTGAATAATCAATATTAAAGATTATTGTCAGTATTATTGATCAGTGATCGATCAGTGATCGATCAGTAAAGTGAGTTCAGATTTTAAACTTTTATTTGTTTAAACGCGATGACGTATGAGAAAGGAAGCGCGCGCACGCTGAAGCGGCTACGTCATTTGGTTCAAATGTCGGTGGCAGCCAATCAGAGGCGGCCAGGTCACAGCTTCCGTATCTGTAGCGGAAGAGAAGATGGCGGCCGCGAGGAACGGGAAGAGTGGACTCCTGGAGAAAGTGAGTGTCAGTTTTCTGTCTTCAGTCGGATTAAACTTTAAACTTTAAACTTTAAACTTTAAACTTTAAACATTAAACATTAAAGTTCGCGCCTTTATCCCCCCCGGGAGTCAGACTGCGGCTGCGCGGGATCGGCTCTGTCTGCACCGGCGCTGCTAGCGAGCTAAGCTAACGTTAGCCTGCTGAATGAGATGAATAATGAATTATAATGAACGATGAAGAGGTTGATGAAGAGGGGTGGATGATGAAGAGGTGGATGATGAAGAGGTGGATGATGAAGAGAGCAGCAGGTTCAGTTTCCCGCTGCTACAAACAGCAGCTGCTCAACCGGCTGCACCAAACTCCATTCAGAAAAACAGCGATTTAACTTGAATCCCGGTTGAACCCGCACAGACTGAGTGAGACACTGCAGGTGAACAGCTGGTGTTAACCTCAGCACGGGCTCATCTGATCGGCCTGAATATATATATATATAAATATATATAAATATATATAATACTGCTGTATATCTCTAACAGTCACACTGACCAACAGCTGGCTGTGGTATTATTATTATTATTATTATTATTATTATTATTATGTATGATCTAATATTAACAGTCAGTGTTGCTGCTGTCTGATCACACTGATGGATTATAAAGTGATTAATCAATGAGCTGTCTGTGTTTCAGTGGAGGATCGATGAGAAACCAGTGAAAATAGATAAATGGGACGGAGCCGCTGTGAAGAACTCTCTGGACGACGCTGCTAAGAAGGTGAATCAATCAATAGAACTGAAGTTATTGATCGGTTCTTTATCTAACTGTATTTTCAGTCGGCAGTAACGCTTGTTGCCTTCAGGTGCTCCTGGAGAAGTTCTGTTACCTGGAGAACTTCAGTCTGGTTGACGGTCGTCTGGTGATCTGCACCGTCTCCTGTCTGTTCGCCATGTTGGCTCTGGTCTGGGACTACCTGCACCCCTTCCCCGAGTCCAGACCGGTGCTCGCCTGCTGCGTCATCTCATATCCTTCAAATCATGATATAGAAAGTCCTAAATATCAATAAAAAGAGTCACAATTATGGGATTAAAAATAATAAATCTGAGATTAAAAGTCAAGTGAAGAGACATAAAGACGGGATGTGGATCAGATTGTGTGTCTGTTCTGGTTCTGGTTCTGGTTCTGGTTCCCTAACTGCCCCCCCTCCGTCACGTACTTCATCATGATGGGCATCCTGACCCTGTACACCTCCTACAAAGAGAAGAACATCTTCCTGGTGGCCCTGCAGAAGGATCCGGCCGGGATGGATCCGGATCACGTCTGGCAGCTCTCCTCCTCCCTCAAAAGGTCTGAATCTTTACCCATAATGCACTCTTTCTTCTACACGGCTCCACAATAAGGTCACAGATACAGTAAACGAAGGAAATATGACTGTCTGTCTGTGTCACAGGTTCGATGACCAGTACACTCTCAGAGTCTCCTTCGCTGACGGGAAGTCGAAGGCCTGGAGGGAAGCCGAGTTCACCAAGTCTGTGTCGGTGTTCTTCGACGAGAACGGGACTCTGGTGATGGACCAGTTTGAAAAGGCGGTTTCTAAACTCCACGACTCGCTGGCATCGGACAAGAAGACCAAATAAAGCCGATAATCCATCGTGAATATGTCCGCTTGGTTCGACTCCTTCCACAGTTCATCGCTCTCAGTTAGCAGAGAGAATCCATCCGTTTATCTTCACGTCATTCATTAATTGGTGATTAGAAAACACTCCCATTGGTGCGTTCAGGGACGCTCAGAGATCTGAGAGTCGGCTGCTGTTGTTTGAATTCTCACCGACCTCCGCGTCCACTCTCTTGTAATGTTTCCCCGAGCTTTCAGCTACGTCTTATTGTCCTCTAGGGCAGTTAATCCAAATATCCAAATCACAAGTATCTGACAAAAGACCAACAAATGTCTCGTCATCACAGTTTGATGTTTTTACCGTATGGTGGAGCTTTCTCAGTCGTCATGGAGACGGCGGCGGCGCAGTGCGCGATGGAGGTTAAGTGGATTCTCTCCGTAGCTGAACTGAAAGCGATGAACTCTCTGAAAGGAAGTTTTATTCACAGATCCAGAACGGTTTCACCACAGTCAGTAACTTTCCAGTTTACAGGAATTATTTGGTTTCACCTGCAGACGTTTTTTTTGTTGTTTTTGTTTCAGTATGAATAAAAGATGTTTAGAAACTGAAACGGCGCCCTCGTTGATCGGTGTGGATGAACGTGTGACGCCTCCACAGACGCAGCGTTTAACTTCTGAATTAAGAGTCTGTGTGAATCTTTAACTGTTCGTCCTCATTCTCAGAGCGTTACACGACCGACGAAGAGTTCGCCCACTGGGAGAAGAATGACTCAGCACTCGTCCCCGTTAGTCCCTTAAATGTCAAAAGAAATCCACCACCTACAGAGCCGGTTGTATCGACAGGAAGTCAGACACAGAAACACAGGATCCAGTCAGTTTTCAAAGTAAAATACCCAAGATGTATAAAATAAAAAGAAAGCATTTAACTGTGTAGGACAAAAGGAGCTCTCGTTGGGTTTCAGTACTCGTGGATATACGGAGTGGAAGCGCACCGCAGACGTAAACCTTAAACTGCCACTGACAACTGAAGATAATTTAAAAATAATTAGTCCCTAAAATCACTGGTCAGGCTTTCGCTGGCCTTCTTACGGGGATCGTTGCCCCTAAAATGTCTGAGCTTTTCTAAAAATTCTGCCAGAAAGTAAAAGTTTCATTTTCTTGTGTGTAATTAATAAAAATAAAAAGCTAATGTGCTCCAGTGGGAGTAACGTTTAGGGTTGTATGAGGACTGAAGACTACAATGAGTTTGCAGCAGAGTCGCAGTGATCAGATGAAATGATCAGGTCGTGCTGAATTCACAGGGTTTGGTTGAATTAGTTTTTGCTTCACATCTTCCTGAAAGAACTGAAAACCCTGATTCCCAGATACAGGCTGGAAGACGCTTCTGAAACGTTCTCGTTAGGGTTCGATGTCGCAGGCTGTCCGTGCCGCAGACGGGACACCATAATTAGTCAGTTTTGGGGTCGTTGGCGGTTGAGAATCGCTGGTTCAGAGGACGATGTTCTGCAGCTCATTAGAGGTTTAATAAAAGCAGGTCCAGTGTTAACTCAGGACGCTGTCGTCAGTATTTCTGTGTGAAGTTTAGATGTTTGTGGATGTTAAAGGAACATTTCAGCTCCACAACAGTTCCTGTTGAAGGTTTCTGGAATCAGAAAGTGACGTGTCGCGTTGTGATTGGCTGGTTTCTGGATCATTACTGTCATTGGTTGATGGAAGAAAGACACAACAACGTGACACGTCACTGGTGGGCGGAGCCACATGAGGGAGAATAAACACCTGTGAGGGTCAGACAGGTGGAAAACAAGCAGCAGCTAATAGAAAAAAACAAACAACAAAATGTGAATAAAAATATTTTGGGTCCATTTTTGAACTTTTCATTTTAGTTAAGTTGAAGTTTGACATTAACGACAGATTAGCATTATTAGCATCTCCCAAGCTAACGGGTCTGTGAATGCTAATGATGCTAAAGACAGCCTCCTCACAGACAGACAGGTTGACGCCTTACAACAGGAAGTGGACTGCATGTCGACCAAACTTTTCATTTTGAGTGTTTTGTACGGTTATTTTCCTCAGAGCCTTACTCTGTGTACCTTCTGTGTGTGCAAATATTAAAGATGGATATTGTTACCAAAGTCCTGAGTGACTTAATGAGTCTAAATGTTTCTTCTTCCTCGTTGGTACCTGCAGAATATTTAATGTTCAGTTTCATTTTCTCCATCAGTCGGTTCCTCTGCAGTGTCACAGTTCAACCACCAGGTGGAGCTGTAGTACTGAGGCTCCAACTTTAACTTTATTCTTTATTTGGATCCTTCAGCTTATTACAGTAATTATTGCTGTTTACACTGATAACAACTGTATTTGGACAGTTTACCTTATACACTGATAAACAACATTTATTCTACTTCCATCATTATACAACATATCTGTCAGTTCACTAACTAATTAAAGTTACACAACTCATACTTTATTTACTGTCACTAATTTTACATCATTTTATAAATGTATTAAAAGTGTTAAACTTGAGTTTAACAGTTTAATCTATCAAATAAACAGTAAATATAAATTATAGATTTGCAAAATAAATGTTAATATGTTTATGTGAAATTTTCTCTAAATAATCTATTTTATATATATATATATAATTTTCTGATTATTTACAGTTACAGATTTGATAAATTCACTGGCAATTTTTGTAATTCAATTAACTTTCCCATGTATTTTTAAGAAACAAAATGACAAATCTTTTTACAATGTACTTTATTTGTATATAATTATATATAAAAACATCTAAAAATCAGGACTAAAGAGAATAAATAAAAATACAGGTAAAAACATAAAAGTTAATCTAGTTTATGTAAAGTTCTACATGTTGGGACTGTAGACCTCCGCCCAGGAGGAAGAAGCTGAAGTTCAGCGTGCAGATGGCGGAGTCGGAGCAGCACGGAGCAACAACGACACCCAAACAATGAGGGAAGGAAAAGACTTGTAAGAACACACATTCAATCAATCAGATCACACAATATCAATTAAAGCAGGAAGATCAGACAGTAGGTGAAAGATTGAAAATAGAAACAGCTGAAAAGGTTCAAAAACAACTTAATTCCTGTCAGATTTACTGCTTTAGTTTTAGTGACTGATGACTGAATCTATAAATCTATAAAGATCAGTTGTGGTTTCTTAAAGTGTGGTTGAACAACTAATAATCATTGACACATCATTCAGTACGCAGTAAACCTGTTGCTGTGAATTCTGTGTGACGTTGCAATGTTGTTCAATCACTGCAACCTTTCCACAAATTACTTAGTTATTTTAAAATACTCGTAGTTTCCTCCACAGAATGTTGAGTCACTAAACTCAAAAGCCAAAGATTGAACAAGATTTTATGTAAGATTAAAGTTAAAAACTGTATTTTAATTATAGAAAGTACTGTATTTAGTTATTTTCTGTTATTTTACTGTATTTTTTTGGCGTCCAGTTGCTTTTCATTGTGAACATTTTCATAATTATACAAGAAATCTGCCGATTAACAAACAAATCCTTGTAAAATTACAGAATAAATATGTTTTACTGTTAATGTCACTAATTCTACATAGTTTTATAAATATATTAACAGTATTAAACTGGAATTCAACAGTTTAATTTATTAAATACATATTTTTAAATAAGAAGTAAATTTAAGATTATTTACGTTTACAGATTTTTCACGTTATTTTACATTAAACATGTAAATTTACAGGATGTTTTTGTAATTTTATTAAAACGTATTTTAAAAAATGACATTTTTTTTACAGATAAAAAAAAATTAAGTTTCAACAACACGTCCAGGGTTGTTGGGTGGGCGGGGCTAGCATACATGTGGGCGGGGCAGCCATGGATGTGTGGGTGGGGAAACAATGGAGAGGTGGGCGGGGTCAGCAGGGAGGTGGGCGGGGTTAACCTACAGGGTGCTGTCTGTCAGTGCGCAGTGATCAGATGTGTGTGAGGGAAGCAGAGTGTCCCAGTGTTGCTGTCTCTCGGCCATGGCCTGTCTGATGGCCGCCTGGTCCGTCCACAACCCCACCGTCACCAACTCCATCATCATGGTGAGTACTGGACTCATTGACTGGACCCGGACTGGACTCATAGACTGGACCCAGACTGGACTCATAGACTGGACCCAGACTGGACTCATAGACTGGACTCATAGACTGGACCCAGACTGGACCCAGACTGGACCCAGACTGGACTCATAGACTGGACTCATAGACTGGACCCAGACTGGACTCATAGACTGGACCCAGACTGGACTCATAGACTGGACTCATAGACTGGACCCAGACTGGACTCATAGACTGGACCCAGACTGGACTCATAGACTGGACTCATAGACTGGACCCAGACTGGACTCATAGACTGGACCCAGACTGGACTCATAGACTGAACCCGGACTGGACTCATAGACTGGACCCAGACTGGACTCATAGACTGGACCTGGACTGGACTATAGACTGGACCTGGACTGGACAATAGACTGGACCCAGACTGGACTCATAGACTGGACCCGGACTGGACTCATAGACTGGACCCGGAATGGACTGATATGATGGACATACAGTGGAGACAAAGCGGATCTGTAGATAAGTTTAACACTGTAAAATAATAATAATCTGTATATTTAAAGGGTTTTTCACATGAATTTTTAATATTAAATTAGAATTAAAGAATTAAATTAGATCAAATCTATTAATCATTTTAAACGATTAAAATTATGTGAAATTAAAAGAATAAAATACCAACTATAGTGCTGACATATGATAAAATCAATATTCTAATAATATATAATAATAAGACAGATGATGGACTGTTATATATCATAAAGTTATTTATGATATATAAATATTTTTATTTTATATTTTATATTAAAACTGTACAATGAACTCAAACAGTGAACTGATTATTTCCTGTTTCTCTGTATTTTTATTATTTAAACAATCAGATATTAATATTATTTCTTAATAATATTCTTCTGTTGTGACGGATTCAGTGATGAACACCTCCACTGTACAGAAGCGCTGTTGGCTTCAGGAAATAAACGTAATAAACACGAGGAAGCAGCTCTCTGAGTCCTGGTTCATGTGGACTTTAAGACTCAGAAGGTCACGAACAAACCAAAGTCGGAGGAGCGACTTCCCGACTGAAGAGCATGTGAACGCACCATAAATCAATACTGTGGCCGTTAGCACTGATGGTGATGATGACGATGGTGATGATGATGGTGGTGGTGGTTCTCTGCTGAATCACAGCCGCAGTCTGTTTGTTCTCAGTGTGTAAATCCTCGCTGACTAAGCTCTCCTGTGTCCGACAGTGACCTCCTGCCGTCACTCTGGAGGCAGATTAGAGTCCCATATGGGAGCAGGATGCTCACACGCTGCCCCACATACCGGCACTGGAGCCTACTCACTCACAGTGCTGGACTAGTTCTGACAGCACGACGCTCTCGCTCCTCCTCAGGAAGTTAACGTTTAACATGGAGTCAGGCACAACGAGAAAGGGTTGTTATTCTACCTTATAGACCTTTTTCACAGCAGCCATTGTAAAATGAAATAGGGTAAACACAGGTGCTACCGATGATACTGACTATTGGAAAGGCTGCTGCACTAAATGGAACTTAACCTTAATTAACCTTTCCAAGGCCCGCCCCTCTTTTGCTCTGTGCTCCAATCACAGTTGAGCGAACCTCGTCAACTTCCTGTACTTAGATATGCTATGCTAGGCTAATCTATGTTGGAAATCCAACCACATTTTGAAAATGGTTCAAAAATAAAAGAGACACATATATTGTCACATCTTCAGAATTTGTTTCGCTTTCTGTGTGAACACGACGTTACCAAAGTCAGTCGGGAGAATGCTAACAGCAGCTACGCTAAACTTTCTAGCAGCCACCACTGTTGTTTTTGAATGAACACACAGCTAGCATTAAACCACGACACTAGCTCATGCTGTTTCTGATTGGTCCAAACCGCTGTGGCACGAAGCTGCCTCAAGGTTAGAACGGCTCCTGATGGATGCTTTGGATAAAACGCTTCTGTGTTTGTACAAAAAGAGTTCACTACAAAATCTCTTTGTGTCTTTTGTGAATAATAATATTTGATCATATAACAGGATGTTGTTGTCTTTATGTCCTGTTCAATGTGATTGATTGACATCTGTCTCTGGTGGAACCCTCAGAACACCAACGGACCCCCGGACTTGATGCTGGACCCCCGGACGGTGTGTGTTTGTATGGACGAGGTGGTCAACAAGCGGCCGGCGGGCAGCCAGCAGACGCCGCTGCTGCAGGGACACCTGAAGAAGGTGGACAACAACCTGACGGAGGCCCAGAGGTTCTCTTCATTACCGCGGAGACCGGCTGTCAACATCGAGTTCAAGGACGTCTCGTACTCCGTCAGAGAGGGACCCTGGTGGAGGAAGAAAGGTACTGAGACACACCTGATACCCTCAAGGTTTTTATCACTGATGAATCGATGTTAAAAAGACAAAAACTGAGTTCAAATGATCCGAACAGTTTTAGAAGAATGTGTCTGAGATCAATCAGTGCTGCTGTTAATATTCACCCTGAACCCTGTGAGTCCAGTGCTTAGGGTTAGCCTCTCTGAGCCGCTAGCTTAGCTACAAACAGGTAGCACACAGAAACTTTTACAAACACAATGAATGTGCTTCTAGTGACTGTACGAGCTCCAGTGGACTCTGAGTTTCCAGTGTGGACCAGAGAGTCTGACAGCAGCTGATCATTAGCTCTGTTTGCTCTGTTAGGTCCGTTAGCTCTGACTACCACCTTGCTGTTCCTGCTACACTGCTATTTCAATCTGTCAATCACTGTCGGTGTTAAGGCCACGCCCCCCTGAAGTCAATGTCCTTTGCAGGTCTCTGATGCAGTTTTTGTACATTATCTGAGAGGGAGGAGCTAACAGAACTGGAGGGTGGAGTTACACTGCTGTAATCTGAGTCCAGGTGTGTTCAGTAACACACTGATCTGTTTCTACTGACGGAGCTCAAACACAGTGTAGCACTGATGTAACGACTGCTGATCTGAGGTCTGTTTGTATGTGAGCAGGTTACTGTCAGTCAACAACCTGCAGTCCCCTCACCGTGC